GGTAGCCGGCGGCAATTCTTCTGCAGCAGACACTTGTTCCAGAGACACTCTGCTCATTCGCCTTCCTTCTTGGTCTTGGCCTTGGCCTTCCTTCTACTTCTTGGTCTGAAGGTTTTCACTCTACAGTCTTGAGCACACAGAACATTTTAATAACTGTTTTAACGTTCCTGCTAGTTAGTTCCATCACACCTGGGTCTGTTACTGTAACTTCTTTGCTACGAGTGACATTCTCCTGCCAAGTGCCCCATCTATTAGTTTCAACTGGATCCCAGACAAGAGGAAGTTACTACACTGTGTCTGAGTTCAGTCGTCCTCCTTTCAAGGGTGCCCTCAGTTCTGAAGGAAGGGATCAACCTGATCCTTTCAGGCTTGTCTTTAAGTTCGTTCACATTGCGTCGGGGCAACCCCAGTTGCACCCTCAAGCCTCGGCTGTTCTGAGGCACTGGGCAGGCTCTACACTCAGAGCAGACTCTCTGCCCCAGCTGCGAGGACTGGAATGGCTCGGCCGGTCCCGGGTGGGCCAGGGGTGCCCAGCACACAGCTCCCAGTAGCTGTTCTTTCCCTGGAAGGTTCTCGGGCAGTTGCCCAGGTCTCGCGCCACTGGCAGGTGAACCAGCATTCAGCTGAGACCCGCAGGGCCTCTCGCAGAGCTCCTCCTCGCTCATACCAGGTTCTGCCAATTCTGGCTGCCTCAGCTTCACCAAAGGACAGGCTCTCAGGGTTTGAACACTGCCTCGACAGAAAGCCGGCGCACCTGGAGCGAGGGCTCACTCATCCTTTTGTGTAACAGACCTGACACTGCTGGAGGGCGAGTCCATACTGGGTGTGTCCTGCCAGCCCAACCTTAAGGGCTATTAGAAGCCTGCGAGGCCTGCTGGTGAGTCCCTCACAGGACCCAACACCTCTTCCCTCTTGCCTCAGGAGTTCAAGGCCCCTCCTCCTCTGCTGACCCCATTTCAATCCTGCAGAAGGTCTTGCCTTACCCTTGGACACAAGAGGGACTAGTGATGGGACATATGGCAGGGGAAGGGAGAAGCTGATGCCCAGCTGCTAGCTGGTGAGCAACACCCTTGCCCCTGAAATCCAGGGCTTAGAAAATATCCAGTCTTGCTATAAATTTGGAGCCTGTGGCCCTATTTCCTACAGAACTGTGAACACCCTGAAACGCATACAAAGTTCTGCACATGTGCAGATCTTTATAAAGGGAGGGTCTCTGTCTGTGAGCAGGTTCTCCAAGGGCTCCACATCAGCAGGATCAACCACCACAGTGGCTCCACAGTGGCCCACCTGCACTTTTTTTTTTTCCACCTGCACTTTTTAAGAGTCTCTCCAGAACAGAAGGCCTGTCTTAGTCCTCCAGCCAAAGGGATGGGTCTGCGTGATGTGTTCTGGGAGGAGCGGGCACGCGGTGGGCACCCACGTGCGGTGAGAACACCAGCACTGTGTGGACGCAGCTGCAGAGCAGCTCTTGGTGCCCATCCCGGCCCGTCCTCTCCTTAGCCAAGAAGGCGCCTGCTCGCACACCCTCACGTCCCTGTCCTACTTGTGCTCAGGCTCAAGCTCTCCAGCTGCCGCACCACACTCAGGTCTCCAGGCCCAGCTGAATGCAGGGGCCTCTGCTGACTCAAGTCACCGCTGGGCCCAGGGGCAGGGGCTCTGGGGCAGCTGCCAGCGCTCCCGGGTCAAGAAACCCTGCAGCCAGAGGTGCAGACGCAGGTCCCTAGCCTGTGATACCCTGTGGGGCTGACTGCTCCTTCCAGGGTGGGTCCTGTGGGCCCCCCGATCCCTCCTTCTCCTTTAACAAAGAACTCTGAGCACACACGGCCTGTGGAGCCAGGTGGGCTCATGTCCGCTGTGTCCACCTACCTCCCTCCAGCCCCTTCGGGGATTCTGTGTCCCTCCTCACCCCCCGCCCACCTCGGCAGGACGGACAGACAGGGAGCCCATCCTGTGCAGATCTCTGCCTGGCTCGTCTGTTTCTGTCTGTCCATGTATATATCTGTGTACCTCTACAGAAGGGGAAACGGAGACTCTCGTGTGAAAACTCAATACAATTCTATGAAGACCTGAGTGCTGATCACTCCAAGTACAGCAGGGGTCCAGCTAAGAAAGCAGGTGGGGTGGGACCAGGGCAGGACCCCACGGCGTGGGCCTCGTGCTGCCCTCCACCCAGGAGACACAGCACGCAGCGAGGGCAGGCGTGAGCCACAGCTGTACACCAGCGAGACCGTGGACTCTGGGTCCAACTCAGCCGTCCTCCTGCTTTTCATCTGTGTTTCCTAGTGTCTCTGTGACTCAGTTCCCGTGTCTGTAAAAGGCCAGCTGTCACCTCTGCGTGGTGCTGTGGGAGGAGGTGAACTGATGCCCCGGGGCTGGGCCTCCTGCTCTGTGGAGTGCCGGACAGGGCTGGCTGGGTCCTGGGTGGCAAGTTCAGGGGACACCAGGAGTCTCCAAGGCCCCAGAGCCCCTTGCAGCCTGTGCTGCATGCTGGGCACTCCTCCAGCCTTTCTCAGCCACTGCCAACCCCCAAGGGCAGGGCAGAGGGCCTGCTGGGGCCCGCCTGGCTCCCAACTTGGGGGGAGGAGTGACCCGCCTGTTGTGGGAGCTCCGGGAACGATCCTCAGCCACCTCGGAGTGGCCAGGTGCGACTGGGGCCCTCCGTGAGGAGTGCCGCAGAGAGCTGGAGACCTGACTGCAGGCTGCTCGCCAGCCAGGGCCTCCACAGTGACCCTCTGACTGAGATGCTCACAATGGCCACCTGGGATGGGGCTTGGTTTGGTGACACCCAGCTCCCAGGTGAAGGAGGCCCTTGCACTTAGGGCCTCATGGTGCCCACAGCCTAACAAGAAGAGCCTCCTTCAGCAATGCACCCACTCTCCTTACCACTCTTAACCCTGTCTTGAGGCCAGACAGGCCTGATTCACGGAGCGTCCCATGGATGCAGCTGCCACACTCACCAGGTTCTTTACCAAGGTTGTGGGGCCTTCGGTCCCGCAGGGCTGTCTGAGGGGCAGCCCTGGCCTATGCTGTGGTGGCTCCACACCGAGCATGGTAACTGACTGGGGGTCTGGGAGGGAAGGGGAAACCAACACGACTCTCCGGGCAGGGCCTCAGACTTTGCGGAGGATGCACAGCGCTGCCGGGGCTGGAAAGCCCCCCACTCCACCCCCCTTCCCATGTCTCTGGGGCCAAACACAGGGTCCTCGGGGCAGAAGGGGAGAAGAGTTCCAGCCAGAGGGGAGGCACCAAGAGAACAGACACCAGAACATTCCAAGGCCTCCGGAAGCCAACTCTGGGTTTCAAGACCACAGAAGTCTCCCCCAGCAGACTTTCTGACAGAGGCCTGGGGCTTGTGTGGGCACTGTGGAGGCCTCAGGCAGAGGGCGATCTCCTTTCTCAGGGCCAGGCAGTTTCCCAGCCCCTGCCCAGTCTGGAAAAGGGCTTCCTTCCACAGCTGAACCAGTGCTCAGTTCCTATCCCGCCTGGCAGCACCACCCCCTGCCCGCTGTGTCCTGCACTATGCATCCTGGCTGGCCTAAGGACAGAAGGGAGGGGGGTCAAATGCACGGGCTCCAGCCGGCTGCTCCCACCCCCTCCAGTTTAAGTTCCAGCAGGGCTGGTGGGTGGTGCAACCACTGTGTGAGAGGCTGTGGCAGGCTTGACCCGTCCTGCTTTCCAGCTCTAAGGCCTTGCTCGGAACACAGGAAGTGGGACCTAGAGAGCTAGCTGGCAGGGCTTTGCCTGCTGCCGCACAATCTTTAAGTAGAAACATCGAGCAGATCAAGAGGTGAGGCGATTATCCCAGTAGATTAAGCTCAGAGTATCCCAAAGGATCTCCGATGGCCCTCCTCAACCTGGGTAAGAGTATTTCCTGGGAGTTTAAGGGAAGGGAAAAGAAGAGAAAGGAAGAATAAAGACAGAAACCTGGGGTCATTTCCTTGGGTCAGCAAAGCTTAGGGCCTTGAACAAGGGGATGGTGGTAACAGGACAAGCTGTGGGGAAGGAAGCACAGCCTCCTCTTGGGGAACGCTGTGCACAGCTATAGAAGCAGGCAATAGGGATGGAGCGTGGCACACAGGTGTGTCACTGGGACCAATATCAAGTGTCCCCTACAAGGACGCTGTATAATCCTTACTTTCTACCCGCTTTGAGGCAGAGCTTCAGCAAACAGCCCAGGAACCAGAGGACCCGGCCTCCCGCTCTGGGCTCGCCTCAGCTCAGACTGCTCCTCCTTTCTAAAGGCTTAACAGTTTGAAAGAGAAGTACTTAGGAGAGTCTGGGAGAGCCAGCGTCCGCGCCCTCAGGAGAGCAAGTGTGTCCGGAGGCACCCAGAGATTCCGCAAACCAGGGTGGCCCAGGCCGCCCATCTGCGGGCCCGGACGGAGCTATAGCTCCGGCCTTCCCCGGACGCGACGTCACAGCCCGGACGCAGATTCTCAGCCGCAACTCCAGATAAGTCTCTGCTTTACCTCTGCAAGCAGGGGAGCTGTCCGGCCTGCAGGGTCAGACTATGGAGAAGAGCCTGCTGCCAGGCAACTGGAAGCAGGGGCGTGGATAGAGGCCCCGAAAGGAACGAAAAACCAAGTGACTCTGGGGAAACCCAGCTGTGGTATCCGGACATGAGTTCGAGACCCACCACAACTTTATGACGTTTTGCTTTGTTTTTCGGTCCCTTTCCTTTTCCAGTAGAGCAACGCCCTCCAATACCTGCGCCAAATCCTCATTTCCTCGCAACAGCTGCCGACCCCACCACCCTGGTAACTCTTCTGAGAAGCTGTGGGGTCACCTGGGCACCACGCTCGCTACGAAACTGGGCGCTGCCCTCAAGCCAGGCGCGCTTCCGCCGTCGTCTCACAGTTACTCGGCGAGAGACCGAGGAGGAGAGGCCCTTCCTGCCCAGACCCGGGCAGCGCGCACCGAGGGGAGGCCTCGGACGCTCTTTCCCGAACCCCCTGCTGCCCGCCCCCACACGCCCCGGGCCGGCGCGCCCAGCCCCTCACCGGGCTCCAGCAGATGAGCGCGTCCGTGTCCGGGTCACTCACGAGGGTCCACAGCTTGGTCAGGAAGGCCGGGACGTTGCTGGGCCCCGCCGCGCCCGGGCCCACGGGCAGATCCATACCGGGCGAGGCGGGAGAGGAGGAGGTAGCGACCGCAAAGAGGAGCCGAGAGCCGGGCTAGCACAGCCGCCGCGCCTGCTGCCTGGGCCGCGCTGCCGCCGCCCGCTGCGCACACACAGCCCCGAGGCCTGGTATGGCCGCCGCCATCTTGCGACGGGCGCGCTCCCGCCGGCGCCGCCCGCCCGCGTCCCCACAGCGCGCGTGCGCGTGCCGGCCCAGCCCATTTCGGCCCGCCCCTCGCCCTCTGACCCCGCGGGCCCCGCCCCGGGGCCCACGCGGTCTGTTAGCTGCCGGAAGTGGCGGCGCGGGTCCGGGCGGTCCGGGAGCATGGCTGGCGCGCGGGGCGCGGGGCGCGCGGTGGCGGCGGCGACAGTGACGCGGTCCGGAAAGCGGCCGCCGGAGCCGGAGCCGGAGCTGGAGCTGGAGGAGGTGACCGCGGGGTGCGCGAGCGGGACGTGGTGGCGCGGCTGGGCCGCACGTGGCGGCTCCGGGGGGCCAGCGCCGGGGAGCAGGGCACGGGAGTGCGAGGAGGCGGGTCGCCGGCTCTTTGCTGGGGTGGCCTCGTGGGGCGTCCTGGGCAGGGGCTCCCGCAGTGTGGTTGGGGAAGTGTGGACCGGAGCGAGCTAGCAAGAGGGGCTGGCATCGTGAGCGTGATCTCCCTAGCGCTTTGAATTGTGGTTCCTGCATTAAAGAGGTTTGAGCCTGTTAGGACGTTACTGATACGTCGGGTACGTTGTAAAAGGACACGAGGATAGGAAGGCAGTGCCTGCTGTATTGGCCACATCCTTTTTTAACTGCGCTCAAAACCACTCCTGCTATGTAGCGGAATCCCAGCTGGGTTTGTGGTGTCATCAGCTCTCCAAAGTTTGTCCAGCCGCGCCTCTTTAAGGGGGCACTCCATGTTGCTGGATTGTCAGGTAGCCCCTTCACCCTGACCAGTTCTGCTGCTCTCCCGCCAGCAGGCATTCTGGGCACCAGGCTCGCCTGCTTCCATCACTCAGCTCTGTACCCTCAGCAGCCATTTGTGTTTGTGCCCAAGCCATTTGTGCCATTTTTATTTGCTGTTGTAATTGTGTAGCTTACTAAGCATTGAAGATAGTGTGTATCAGAGTCATTTCTGTGGAAGTTCAGTTGAGTGCTGCCAAATAATTGGTGAGTGCAGGCTTTCCTGTTAGCTGAGAGAATTAATAGCTATTAAAAGGCAGAAATCTAGGGTTCTCCATTCAAATAAGGGCTTGCTGAAAGTCTAAGTTCTTGTTTTCCCTCTCTAAGTGCATGGGTCTTGTGAATTTAGGGACTGGGTGGTGTCTGGTCAGCAGACCTCTGCTCAGAGGAAGCTCTGGTCCTATCCCATGGGGTGGTGAACCAAAACACTTGGTTTTAAGTAAAGTTTGCATCATTTTTATGTCTCTTCAACCAGTCTTTACAATTTACTGATAAACTGTCAGTCCCAATCTGGTTGGATAGAGTCCTCTTCTGGCGGGAAAAGCACCTCAGGTTGTGGTCCTCTGCCTGTCCCAGACCCCACCCCGGTGCCTGGTAGCTCTGGAGATGTGAAAGCCAGAGCTCCAGGGCATGGCTTTTGGGAGTGGAGGGTGGAGGGCTGGTGCAGGTGATGTGATGGTAATTGAGCTCCTTGGAAAGTCCTCTTGTGGGACTCTGCCTGAATGTCTCCTCCAAGGGCAGGAGGCCTGCTGGCGGTGGAGGTGGGTGGTGAGGGAGACCCGGGTTGGGTGGATGGTGTCGGTGGAGCTGGGGGCTGTGGCCTGTGGGCTGTGGCCATGGAGTGGCTGCACAAGCTGTGGGTCAGCGCCCGGTGCCTGGCGGGTGGGCTGGGGTCATCAGTGCCATGCCGCTGGCAGCCCTCTCTCCTCAGCGCGCCGGCCCCCACCCGCATGCTTGGCAGTGATCCTGGCCTCACCGACAGCGACAGCGAGGAGAGTGTGTTCTCAGGCCTGGAAGAGTCCGGCAGCGACAGCACTGAGGACGACGCTGCCTTGGAGGAGGAGGGGGCGGGCACCAGCAAGCAGCGCGGCAGGATGGACAGGAGCCCTGGGCAGCAGGTGGGTGAGCCAGGAGTCTCCCGAGGGCTCCCCACACCCCAGACGACCACGGCCAAGATAGCGCCTGCCGGGCGTCAGGCTCTCTGAGGGCCCCTAGCACCGATCCCTCCCGCTCCGTGGACCCAGGGCCGCCTCCCTCCTCCTTTGGGCGCAGCGAGGGCGGGGCAAGACGCTGCTTGGAGCCGAGGAGCCCTGAGCTCTAGAGCACAGTCCTGTGCTCTGTCCACAGGGATCCTGACAGTACTTCTCCTGGGTCTCAGGCTGCCTGCTAGACTTAGCTGGCTTCCTCGGGGCAAAGCCCGAGGTGGGATTTCTGTTCGTGACCTAAGGTGGGCCCCTCCTCCGCCTCCTTGACAAACAGTGACATCTTTGAGTGGCACCATTTGGGAGAGGAGGTGTTCCCATCCGCTCCCTACACTCTCCCGGTGACCGCAGTTCATGGCTGGATGGTCTTGCCTCTGTGACAGCCCTGTCGTGCTCTGCGTTAGCCTGCTCCTCGCGTCCTGAAGCCAATGCAGGGCTGCTTGCCTACGAAACCTTCCCACCACAAGGGCCCTTCGCTGGCTCAGGGCCCTCTCGAGGGTCTGCTGACCACCTTCCCCTGTCACAGCCCGTGGCCGCCCTGCGTCACGAGGCCCTGCCGTGGGATGTCGCGCAGCCTCGGCAGGGAGCATCCCCACCCCACAGCTTTAGGATCCACGTGGCGGTGACGCTCCGGTGGCCACCAGCCCCTCTGCTGAGCAGCCCAACTCTGGAATGGCAGCCTCAAGCTCCTGTGGTGCTGGCCATAGCCACGGCCCTGGTGCGGTTTAGACGACGTGTGGACTTAAATGACTTGCCCCCACCCTCCGCCACCCTCTCTGCCAGTTCTTAGCAGGGCTGCCTGAGCAGCCCCGCCTCAGCGGGGCTCCTGGCTGGTGTTTCACCAGCTCCGCTTACTGCGCCCTCAGCAACCCTTAGCAGGACGCATCGCCTGCAACTTTGTCTCGAGGCTTCTGCTCTTTCCTGCTAAGGATGGGGGGCAGTCCCTTTGGTGTTCAGGGGCATGCTGGGGAGACGTCAAGGACCTGGGTGCAGGCCGGCAAGGGGCCCCAGCTGGGAGTGTGCTTCTCCAGGCCTCCGCCTGGAGTGGAAAGTGCCTGGCCCAGATGCTTAGCTGGGGACAAAGGTGGCCAGTGGCTGACACAGGAGGGAGCCCGTTCTGTCTCCCGATAAGAGTTCCATGGTGGAAGGGTCACTTCCAGGGAGCCCTGCTCCCTGATTCTGTGGGTTCCAGGTGTGCAGGCTGTGGGCCGTGCGAAGCAGGAAGCCTCCCCAGCCTCACCCTCACCTTTGGTGTGTCCTCTGCCGACCTGCCCCGCACTTCACCTCTGTTGGCCCCACTCCCCTCCTGCACCCGGCCCTACCCTCCCATCTCCACCTTGGGCCTGGCCCCTCCCGTGCACCCGGCCTCGCTCCAAACCCCCAGCAGTGCTCAGGAGCACTTTGGGCAGCTTCTCTGTCAGGAGAGATGTCTGGCTCTTGTCGTGGAGCGTATCAGGTGCTTTTTGCCATTCTTTCCTGGTCATGCTTGTTTAGATCTGTTTTTTCCTACTTCTTGTGTTTGGTCTTGTCCTTTTTATAACACTTGTGTGGGTTTTCTCCTATTTTGTTTTCTTATTTTTTCACACACAAGTTCCCATTTCTATTAGTTCAGTTTCCTTGCCACATTCAAGAATGTAACAAAAGACTAACTAAGGATGTCCAACGTGGAATTACCCTTTCCTAGTTAACTTACAACGAATTCTGCCCAAACTATCTGTGCCTGGAGCTTAGGAGCTTACTGCGAACCCTTGGGCAGGAGGCGCTCTCCTGGGAGCAGTGGGCAGGGTCTGGTGCCTGGGGAGGGAGCAGGCCATGTCTCCCAGGTAGCTTAGTGAGGCCACCTGAGGCAGGGCACTCTGGGCCTGTCCCAGAGAACCCCAGCACGACCCAGAGGCTGGAGCGGGGGCCCCCGTGGGGGAGCTGTGCCTGGCCCAGCATCAGACTGTTGTTTCTGGTGATGAGAGTTCAGGCGGAAAGTGATGGTGTCAGTCTGGGGTGACGTGATGAGTGGGTTTGAGGGGTCCCACGGCACCCCTCAGTTGCTCAGAAGCATGTCAACTTCTCCTGTGCTCCCTAGAGCTCTGGTAGCTCTACCCTCAGAGGCTTAACATGTCCTAGTTAGGGGTCCAGGTGGGGTGACCTGTGTGGGGCTCTCATGTGCAGCAGGGCAACTCTTCACAGCAGTCCTGGTGAGGACCTGTTGCGGAGGGCAGCAAGAGTGGTGGGCAGAACAGCCCGCCTAAGACCCCCACTGTGGGCTGCTCCCCCGGGGTTGGTGCCCCAGATTGGGGTGGGAGCACACAGATGCTGCCTCTCATCCGGAAGAAACTCAAACCTTTGTAACCGAAGTTAAAAACCGCCTCAGCCGTGCGAGGCTGCAGCCCCTCCCAGGAGAGGCCTGTCGTGGTCGCCTGGCCCCCTTGGCTGAGACACTTGCCTTCAGAACCTCACTTCCCTCTGGTCTTGCTTGCGGGCCCCCAGCCATCCACTTGGGCCCATCAGGGCGCCCACACCACATGGCCTTGAGCCTGTCTGGGGGCGGGTGTGGCTCTGGGCAGACCCCATCATCTGGTGCCTGCGTCTGAGGATGTGGGGGGCTGGGGCTGGACCGTGTGAGGAAGAGGAGGAAGGGTACGCTGGGGCGCCCCCCTGGTCTCCAGGCTTTGGAGGGCTGCGGGTGCTTGGTCGGCCTGGTCCCGGCCCCGCCGGGCCCCGCGTCTCGGCTGCCCCCTGGCGGCGGCTGGCGGCCTTGCCGGCGCCTCTGGAGGGAAGCTGTCCCACACCCTGAGCAGGGCCCTCGCCGGGGCTCTGGCAGGAGCCTGGAGCCCCGCCGCTGGGTGTCGCCCACCCCCCACCCCTGCTGAGCCCCCGCCCGTGTCTGGCTTCAGAGAGCACTGGGGCTGACACGCCTGTGGTCGCTGCCAGGGCTCGGGACCGCGGCCTGTGGTGCGGGGCCCCCGGGGCCTGAGCGGCTGGAGCAGGGTGGCCCACGCGGGTCCTAGTGGCCGCGGGCCGGCCTCAGGGTCTCAAGGAGACTCACAGCAGCTCCCCACCTGCTCCCCGCAGGGTCCTCCCGGCCCGGGCCCGGGCAGGTACGTCTGGATGCTCCGGGCTGGGTGGGCGGGGAGCTCAGGGCGGGCTGGCCCCTGTGCCCCCTGTCCACGGGCCGCCCGCCCGGCAGGGCTGACCCACTTTCAGCGGGCAGGGCTCCCGCAGCGCACAGCCTGGGGAGCAAGGGTGGGAGAGACGTGGAAACCGAATCTCGCCTTTTCCTGGCCTGGAAAAAAACTTACTCTCCCAGCCTCCTCACACGGAGGGAGAAGCTGGCGGGCGGGAGGAAAAGCTGCTGGGCGGCTTCTGGCTCCGGCCCGGGCAGGGGAGCGAGGCTCCTGCTCCCGACGCTTTACTGCCCCCGGAGGGGGGGGTGGGGGGGCGGATACGGGCTGTTTTCCCCATCAGTCTCAGTTCCGGTACACCCGATTCCCACCCCGCAGGGGGAGGATCTGTTTTCCAGGTTGGGGTGTCAATGCCCAGTGGCACCCACTCACTGGCCTGGTGGGCGGGGTCAGCCCGGGGCCGTCCTCCCAGCGCTCCGAGGGTGTGGGTACCTGCCCAGGCCCTCGGCCAGCTGGGCTGCACGTGCCCTCCTCGGGCTGCGGTGGCCCTGTGCTGGTGGCTGACATTGAGAGCCTGGCCTCCCCTGGATGGACTGGCCCAGTTGGGGGTGACCCCGGCCTTTATCTGTTGCTGCCAAGAGGCCACCCCTGCTTTTGTCCTCTGACCCTAGGCTGACTCTGGGCTCAGCTGGGCCTTTGAGCCAGGAGACTTGCAACTGTTTTTTTCGTTAAGGGGTGCAGGGGTGGTTCACCTGATGTCAGCCCCTCTCTGGGGTTCCCCTTGAGCTTGGATATCGCGATGGCCCTTGACAGAGGCTCACCCTGGGTGGAAACCCCCTCCCCAAGAGACCCACTTAGATTGGGGCTGTCCATATTCTTTTCCTGGCAGTGGGACCAGGTCAGAGCTGCTTAGAGATCGTGGCGCGGGACCTTGGCCCCAGTGTGGGCAGGAGGGGCAGGGTGCCCTGGCCCACAGTCTGCCCCAGGTCCTGAAGTAAGCTCCCTCCCTCTCTTCCCTTCCCAGGCCAGGACCCCCTGCCTGCGGACGGAGGTGGCAAGTGTGCCGGGTGAAGACGAGTATGCGGAGGACAGCTCCGACGAGGAGGTAGGCTGGGCCACAGCTGCCCCCTTGCAGGGTGGGCTGTGTGGCCACCGCGAGGCCTGAGTGGGCGTCCTGGCGTGGCCCCAGGCCTGTCTGGAAGAGCAGTTTCAGGGTCGGGGACACATGACTGCAGGAGTGTGTGTGTCATCGTGGGCAGGGCAGCTGGGCGCAGTGCGGCCACCCTGTGCCCGTGCCCTGGCCCTGGGCCATGGGGGCGCCGCTGGCAGGCGGGGGGCACCGCATCTTCTGTGGGGGCTCTGCTTCCGTTCTGGGTGGGCGTGGACAGGCCTCCCCGAACAGCCAGCCTATGCTGTCCCCCAGGTGGGGGTGGGGGTAGGGGGCAGGCCCTGCCCGGCCTGGCTGGCATCTGTGCTCTGCCCCCTCCTCCCGGGTGTCCTGGAGGCCCGGCTGCCATGGCCCTGGGTGCATCTGGTCCTCCCGGTTTACGTCTCACGGGGAAAGCCTGCTGACAGGCTGGGGTGCCCTGTCTGGCCAGAGGTGGCTGCGACTTGGCTGCCCAGGGCTGCCCATGGCCTCTTGGGGGGTCTGAGGCTCAGGGGCTCCCCGCTGGAGGTGATGGGTGCTCCCCTGCCCACCCCTCACTGGTGTGTCTCTGCCCCCTGCCCTGGTGTGAGCCTCCTTGGGCTGCGGGGCCTGCAGAGACCGCGGTCCCCACCCCTAGCAGCTCTTCCTGCTGCCTGTCAGGGGCTGTCCCGGCTGGGGAGACACGCGCCCCCTCCCCTGCACGGCTTCTACCCCCATCCTCCGCTCTTTTGGCAGCGGTTGCAGGAGCCTTGGCCGCCCGCCCGATCCAGTCTCTGTGCGTTCAGAGAACAGAGACAAAACAAAATAAATTGGTTTCCTGGCCGGAGCAGCGGGCGCACTCAGTGAAGGGGGGCCATGCAGCACAGCTCCCGGCCTGTCTCCCCCTCCCAGGGGCTCTGGCTGTCGGCAGCCACATCCTGTCGGCTACTTTTTTATATTCGGTATTTTGAGAAATCGATGATGATTGTAAATGGAGTGCAGAGGCCGGGGGAGGGGCTTCGGGCCGCCCGCGGGGAGGTGCTCCTCCTGGCCTGCCCCGTTCTGGAGCCGCCGCGGGGGCTGGGGGGGCCGCTTCCTCTGGCGATGACTATCCCATATGTGGGCCTGAGTGACAGCAAGAGCTGGCTTCTGCCAGTGCAGCCGGCCACGGCCCAGGGGGCGGCAGGGCCAGGCCGGCCTGGCTGAGGCTCTCCTCCCTGAGAAGTGCCCCCACCCCATCACGGCGTCTCTGCAGGGTGGGCTTCGGGAAGAGGCTTGGGAGGCTGGAGTGGCGAGAGCACAGGAAGGGTGCAGGGACCCTCACCCCGGGCTCTGGTTGGCACCTGTGAGGGCCCACAGCCCCAGAACATCGGTCGTAGGGTGTCGGGCAGCTCCTTCTCCGCAGCATCCTTGGAGGTGGTCCGTGGTGCCAGGACCCCACTCTGGCCCTGGCCAGCCTCCAGCAGTGGGCGGGGGTGTCCGGACAAGGTGTGTTCCTGGGGAGGACCTGAGGGGTGGCAGTGCCTGGTCTCCTCTTCCCCGGGCCTTGTCTGAACTTAAGGCCTGGGCTGGGGGACCCTGGGGCTTCTAGGTGCTCTGACTGTTGGCTTCTGCTGGACCCAGCTTTGGGGTCCCCTGCCCTGGGCGCTGGCCGGTGAGTGAGGGTTCCCCTTCTCAGCTGGACACCCACGTCCTGCGTCCTAGCTCGGCCTCGACGGTGCCATCCTCCCAGTTCTCACCCTGGGCAGCGCCTGGCTGAACCGCCAGCCTGGCGGGGGTCCCTGCGGCCGTGAGTGGGAGAGCCCCGCCCCCACCCGCCCGCGCCCCTCCCCCACAGACGTGATCTCATCCTGCCGCCCGGGGCCGGTGCGGCGGCCCTCGCAGGCGGTCCCGGCTCCAGCCTGGGAGAAACTGAGGCCGGGGGGCGGCGGGCTGAGATCGCTGGCGGCGGGCGGCCCCCTCCGCTCTCCCGCAGGCGCCGCTGACGGCTTCCCGCTACCGAGCGGCAGCAGCCTCGCTGGGCCCGCCCCGGCGCGGTGCTCGGTGCACTCGCTGCTGGCGGCGCGGCGGCGGCTCGGATTTCGAGCTGTTGTGCAGAGCGTGCCTCTCGGCTCGGCTGGGCCTCGTGGGCTGCCGGCCTCCCTGGCCACCCCTACCCCCGCGACTGGGCTCCGGCTGCCCCTGCGGTCTCCCCCGCGGTCTCCCCGCCTCCTCGCTTGAGAGGGGCTTGGGGCCTGGGGCCCGGGGCCTCACAGGTGGCCTTGCGGGTTGGGTGTGGTGGCCGTAACCTCGGGGTGCCCCGGGTCCCTCTGCCAAACACCACCTCTGAGCGAGGCCCGCCGTGTTCTGGTGTGTGGGGTGCCCTGCTCCCTCCAGGACCAGCCGCCGGGGTCCAGTGGTCCCGGTCAGGAGACGGCGCTCCCCTGGGGGGGTGGGGCAGGGCAGGTGAGGGTGGGGCGCCTTCAGAGCCCACCCTTCTCTGGCCTGGGTAAATGGGCGATAGAGGCCCGGCCTGCCATGTGCCCACCGGGAGCCAGTTTCCTGGGCGGCAGGAGCCCAAGCAGGGGCTCCGTGTGGGCTGGAGGCATGGCCCCAGGAGCTGGGGGCTGGCAGGCAGGTGTGTGGGGGGCAAGTCCTGTCTGAAAGGTGGTTGACGGCCTGGCTGCAGAGTGGTGCATAAGCAGGGCTGGCGCTGGAGGCTCTGGATGAGTTCCCCCAGTGGGATCTTGGAGGTGGCCGCAGCATTGTGGGACTCAGAATGGGCGTTTGGCACTCTGCGGGGGCCGTGCCCATCTCCTGCGGCCCAAGGCGTTTCTGGGAGCCGCCACCCCACGTGGGAACGCCCACGCTCCCTGGATAACGGAGGGGGTGGGGGACCCTTGGTGGGGGCAGACTTGCTTCTTTGCCTTTCAGCAGCCCTGAGGCACTGATAGGGGCCAAGGAGTGGGTTCGGAGGGTCCCGGAGCCACACGTGTCCAGAGGTTCAGCAGCGGGCCTGGCTGGCAGTGCTTTTGTGAGGATCATACGCAGCAGGGGAGGTTTGGAAGGGGGGCTCCGAGTCCGCGTTCCCAGCGCCCCCACCCCCACGGTACAGCGGGCGGGCTCCTCTCAGCCGAGCCCTGCGGGGCTGCTTTGCCAGCTTCGTCCTTGGGGACCTGGCCTTCTGCCTTGGGGCTGTAGCCCAGGGCTCCTCGTGTGGGCACCTTGTGGAGGTCCAGCGGCAGCAGGTGGCCTGGGGCACGCGGCCGGGCGCCCCTGCCACAGAGGGCGCTTCACGGGAGGCGGGGGAGCAGAGGGAACACTGCCGGCATTGTAATCGGAGCGGGGCAAGGGGAAGAGCGCGCCAGAGTGAGGGCGGCTGACCCCGCGCTCCCGGGGGACAGGTGGGAGAGGCGAACGAGGAGAGAGTGAAGGATTCCAGAGGTGGGCCGGCTTCCTCTCCCTCAGACAGACACGGGAGGGAGGCGGGCAGCGGGCCAGCGCCGTACCTGCAGTTCCAATCTGCGGTCCTGACAGCTGCAGCCACTTTGGGGAGGGGGAGGGGGCTCTTCGAGAACGGAAAAATCCCAGCCGACACATCAGCGGTGGCCGCGGGTGTCCGGAGCTGCCGGGGGCGGGGCGCCGCACGGATGCGCGTCCGTGTCCCCCCTCCCCACTCCCCGGAGAGTGTGGGCTGGGGTGTCTGGGCCCTGGAGGGGTCGGCGGGCGCGGCCCCCGTGGGGTCACATGTGCTTCCTGGCAGCCGCAGGTGCTGTGCAGGGTGGGGGTGGGCCGGTCCAGGGCAGGCGGCCTGGTGATGGGTCACGTGGTGCCGCCAGCAGCTCGTTCCCCGGGCTGGGGACAGGGAGCTGACAGCTTGGCTCTGACGGCCATCGGCGCGTTTCCAGGCCTGCTTGGCCTCAGGAGCAGCTGCTGGCCCAGGGTGCGGGCCGTGCCCTCTTTTCCCGCTGCTGCACGGGGCACGCGTGGGGCGCCGGGTCCTGGGCAGGGAGTGGGGCCCGGCTGCTGCAGTGGATGGCTGAGTGGACTCGCGCCCGCTGGGGCTCGGCCGGCCCACCACCCCCAGTCTGGTTTGAATTTCTGGAGCGGCGGAGGGTGACGGTGTGCTCCTCCCCGCCCCCGCCCCTCCTCTTCTGCTGGCTGGCGGGCCAGGCCCTCGGCCTCTGCTGCTACCGGTGCAGCTCAGGGAGCGACCGGGCCCACTGCCCAGGCCTGAGGCTGGCCAAGCTGCAGCCGCTGTCGAGCCCCGGGCCCGGCAGCTGAGGGCCTGGCCGCACGTCCTGTGCCAGGGCCTGCTGTCCCTGGGGGCCGTCCCAGCGGCCTGTCCTCTCCTACTGACTTGGCACCCCCGAGACACCGTCCAGCCTCACCCTGCCTGTCCTTGTGCTCTGGTGGGAGTCCCCCGTGCCCACCCCCACCTTTGTGTGGGGCATGCTTCCCACCCCTCCCCCCTCTGCCCAGCACCGGTCTGGCAACTCTGGCTGTGCGGTGGGCACCTGTCTCGTCTATGGGGGGATCTGTGAGGGGGTCTGGGCTCACCCAGCCCAGGTATACGTGGGTGAGGTGGGTGGTTGAGTGCAGGCAGGCCCCAGATTGTCCCCATAGGACTGCTGGTGCCCAGTGGAGCAGGGGCATCAAGCTTGGAGGCCCTCGGGGGTGCCCTTCCCAAGTCGGTTCTCCAAGCGTCTTCAGTGCCCAGGAGCAAAAGAGGTATCTTTCTCAGCCCTTAGCAGGACCCCCACGTTCTGCCTGAGAGTCCTGGCTCTCTAGGCAGGCGGGGGCGGGGGGCTTCTGCAGTGACCGAGTGTGCCCTCTCCCCCTCCTGCCGGCCAGCTGTAGGCTCCTGCAGGATTAAGGAGAGGAAATTTGGGGTTGGGTTTCTCTCTGAGTGGAACCTGCCGTTGTGACTTTTTATCCTGTTATATTTCTATCAGATTGGACACAGCCCCCGCCCCCCCCAACCCTTAATGGCTCTGGCTTTGAGAATTTCCTCCAAAATTACACCACTGCTTCCTGCTTCTTGGTCCTCTGGAGCCTGTCTGTTAAGAGGAGGGGGCAGCTCTGGTCCTGCCCTGTTGGGGTGCCCACGTGGGCCTCGGCACCTGGCCTCTCCTGGGGCCCGGGGTTGGCCCCTGGCACTCTCAGCCCGGCTGGCGGAAGTCAGGCTGCTGGCCAGCCTGGGGGGGTTGCCACACGGCGCTGCCCCCAGCTTGCTTCTCTGCTGTGCCTGTGAGCTCACGCCACTAAGTCGTAATTGTTACCTGCAAGACTTTAATGGTTAGCCAGCTGTGCTCAGCTCTGAGAGGCCTGAACTGCCCTCCTTACGGGCAGGTGGGGCCTTCGGGTTAGCTGGGTGGGCGGCCGGGGTCTTCTGTTGTGAGCAGGGCTTCTGAGGCCAGGGCGGGCCAGGGCGGCACCTGGAGTACACACAGGCACCTGGTTCACACCCTCAGGCCTGCACAGCCTGGGGGGCTCCTTCTGCCAGACAGTGCCCCCCCCCACTTCCTGGGGCTCTGCGGGCAGGGGCTGAGGCGCCGCGGCCCAGGAGACCAGCACATGGCACAATGCACGCACTGCCCTCTCTCTCGGGGCACCCAGACCCCTGGTGGCCCGTGGGGCGGGAGTGCTCCCTGGCTTCAGCCTGTCCCTTGCCAAGTGCAGGGGGCTGTTGTCTTTCCTCGCCCTCTCCTCTCACTGGTCTCCAGACCCCATGCCGCAGTTCCCTGGCAGCAGGGGCTGACCCTGAGCCCTGCAAAGTGGGGCCTTTCCCTAGGAACCAGGGGCCTTGGCCCAGGGCGGCCAGGACGTGAACAGACCACAGCCCTGAGGGTGGGAGTGTGGGCTTGGGCTCTGCTCAGGACAGGTTCTGGCCGCTCCAGAGGACAGCGTGTATCTGCGTTTGGAAGATACTGTTTTGTTTTTAATTATACAAAATTTCCAGACTTTATATTATCATATCAAAGACACAGAATGCTAGCACATAGTAGCCAGAGGAGAACCAGGTAGCGAGCCCGCACGGAAAGCTTCAGTGGGGCCAGGCAAGTGCTGGGGCGGCCGCGCATCCTGCCGCCTGTCTGTCCATCGGCCCCACTCGCAGCTGGGGCCGGGAGGGCCTGGGGGCGCCCTCAGTGAGGCCTGTGCCTGAGTCAGGTCTGGGGCTCTCTGCGGATGGCCCGACATCGCCTCTAACTCCGGATCGCCGTCTTTCTGTCTCGGTCCTTGCTCTGCGGAGGGGAGGGCAGTGTCAGGGCCCAAGCGGAGGCCAGCGCCAGCCTGCGCCTCCGGACTTCCCCACGGGGTGCGCTGAAAGCAACCCCCTTCCACGCTCACTTCGGCTTCCCCGAGCAGTTTGGGGAGGAGAGTGCGCTGCTGCACAGCCGAAATTGTAAAATTAAATCTCCCAGATGTTCAGGCCCCAGGAGCTCACGCGTGCTGTCTGGAGAGGAAATGGGGATTGGGGAGAGCCGAGCCGTATTTTCTCCCTGCTCACCCTGCTCTTCCGGTGCCACCACGCGCAGCAGGCGCCGTAAATCAGAGCCGGCCAGCGTCTCCCGCAGCAGGGCCCTCTCCCCTAGCCCCCGAGTCTCCTGCCAGCAGATCCCACAGCCACAGTGGCGTCTGAGTGGGCAGCCGGGTCCAGGGAGGGCAGGCACGTGTCCAGTAAGCCTTAGGCCACTGGTAGAGCAAGTGGACCCCAGCGGGATTGCCTCACTGCCTCCAAGTCCCCTTCCCCTGATAGCAGGTTGGGTGGCCAGAGTTGCTTGATCAACCCTGGTGTGGTCCCCTAGCTTCTTCCCCATTGGTGCGGGTCCTGTCTTGGTCTCTTTCCTCTCTGTCCCCACAGGAGCCTGTGTCCTGGGGACCCACCGGCTCTGGCCGGGCCCTCCTCATCTTCTCTCTCCCTGGACCTGGGGCTGCGGGTGTCACAGGCGCTGCTCGGGGCTCTGCCTGCTTCTGGCCCCGCCCTCTCTGCCTGGCAGGTGTGGGCTGCAGGGGTGGTTTGGAGGTGGGGGCCGCCCCATCCTCCTAGTCTCCCTTTCCGTGGACACCCCGTGGGCAACACTCACCAACTTTCTCTGGTTGCTGAGGCAGAAGGTGCAGATCTGTTTGGGCTGGGCGTTCTCCCCGTCCCGGGCGGGGGGTGGGGGCGGCGGGGGCGGGGGGCTGCCGGCACGCGATGCGTGGAAGAAGGCGGGCCCCGAGTGGCAGGGCTGCCCGTCGCCGCAGGCCTCGCCCACCAGCAGCACGTTGCCCAGGTGCGAGATGTAGCTGGAGGCCAGGCGCAGGGTCTCGATCTTGGAGAGCTTGCGGTCAGCGGGCTCGGTGGGGATGAGCGTGCGTAGCGCGGTGAAAGCCGTGTTCACGCTGTTGGTGCGGTCCCGCTCCCGCGCGTTCGCCGTGTGCCGCTGCCGGGGCTCGCGGCCCGGCCGCCCTCCAGGCCCCAGGCCGCTGCCCCCCGCCCGCCGGCCCCCGGCCCGTCTCCGGGCGCCCTGGAGGCCACAGCGCGCCGCGTGCACGCGGCAGGGTTTCTCGTCTGAACCCGAGCTCTCGCTGCCTCGGTCCTCGTCCTCCGACATCGGGCTCACTTCAGGGTACAGGTAGCGGCCGGGCGGCGCCGAACGCAGCATTGCGAAGGACCTGGGGCCGGCGGCCGCCGTCAGCTCCGTCGCGCGCCGCACATGCCGCCGCCACTGCCGCCCGGGCCAGGGGCACGCGGGTCTCCGGGCTCCCGCGGTGGCGGCTGCGGCGCAGAGCGCACGTGTGCGTCCCGGGCTGGAGCGGGGCCGCGGGCCGAGCCTTTATAGCCGCGGCGGCCCCTCCCCCGCGCCGGCCCGCCCTCCTCCCCGCCTCCCAGCCCCTGGAGGCCGCTTGGAGCAGGGGCCCTCCGTCCCTCTGCCTTCTCGCGCCATGGTGAAGGGGCCTGGAGCATCCTGCTGTCTTTGTGGGGTGGGGAGACTGGGCGCCCCTCCAGGGGGTGCGGGGCGCTGCTGCCTCCCCTCCTCCCTCTTAGCAGGGGGCGGGAGGGAGGGTCAAGCAGGACCCGTGACCCCAGCCTTCCCACTTGGCATGACCGCCTTAACCCAGATGCCCTGGCCCCAGTGCCTGGCCACACCCTGTCTGTCTCTCCCTCTCATGTACACTTGGGCCTTCTGTGCCCAAAAGAGGGCACAGAGGCGCTCTGAGGGGCTGGAGTCCAGCCCCGGCCCCCTCAACTGCCCCCTCAGGTTTTTGTGGGACTCACCTGATGGCACAGCCTGTCTTTCTTGCACCTGCCCCTCCTGGCACCATCCTACAGGTCTGGCTCCTGCCTGCACTCCTGCCTGGAGAACCCCCCACCCGCACCCTGTTCCCCTGCTGAATGTCCCATGGGTCTTCTCTGGGCCCCCCACGTCTGTCCAGTCCAGGGCTGGCTGTGTGGACTTGGGGAGCACAGGAGGACGGGCATTCCTAGCAGTGGGCAGGGACCTGAGCACACCTGGAGGAGGGTGAGCAGGGAGGACTCAGGTCAGCAGGCTGGGGGCTGGGCAGGTGCAGAGGGGCCACGGCCAGAGGGTCCTGTCCCTGTTGGGGTTCCCAGGTTGCCTGCCATGCAGTCTCATCTGGGCCCCTCCTTCTGTGGCTACTGTTGCAGGAAGCGGCCGCCTGGGCAGCAGTCTCCGCACTGGGTGGAGGGAGGGTGGTGGCTGGCAGGGGCCTCGACCAGGAATGTGTGTCCAGGAATGTGACTGCTCTGCCCACTAAGGGTGGGGTGGGGGCAGGGCTGGGAGGCTGGGGGAGCCCCTGAAAGTGTGCTGGGCTCAGTGCAGTGGACTTTGTCTCCTCTTGGAGTGGGCTGGTGGGGTCTTCCCTGAGTCCCTGCCTGTGGCTACCCAGTTTTGCCTAAGGCCCCCGCCAGGGGAGGGAGCCCACGGGCGATGAGGTCACCCTTGCCTGTGGCTGCCCAGAGCCCTGGCCAAGGAATCCAGGGGGGAGGCTCTGGGGTTGGCACCACTTCAGTGGAAAATGTGAAGGTACAGCTCCGGCGCCTCTGAGGGTCTGGGGGGTGGGGGGGACAGTGCTGGCCGCCCTGCCACGTCACACCCCAGGGAGAAGCTAAGAGTCAGGGTGCCTGGGTGCTGCTTCTGCAGCCTGGAGGCCAGACTCTTTGCTCTGCCTTTCCCTTTCCTGGCCTGTGTCTTATGAGGGGCTTGGAGGGAGGGGTGGGCACGATGGGTGTCTGCTGCTGACTCGCGGGCCTCCTGCCCCAGGACATCCGGAACACGGTGGGCAATGTGCCCTTGGAGTGGTACGATGACTTCCCCCATGTGGGCTACGACCTGGACGGCCGGCGCATCTATAAGCCCCTGCGCACCCGGGACGAGCTGGACCAGTTTCTGGACAAGATGGACGACCCTGACTACTGGTGGGTGGGCGCGGGGTGGAGCCCGTGGGCGGGGCAGGCCTGTGGGGCGGGGCCGGGGCCTGGGCTCTGACTGGGTCCCCCCAGGCGCACGGTGCGGGACCAGATGACGGGACACAGGGTGCGGCTGACGGATGAGCAGGTGGCCCTGGTGCAGCGGCTGCAGAGGGGCCAGTTCGGGGACGTGAGCTTCGATCCCTACGAGGTAGGCAGCAGCTGCTGGCCCTGGGGTTGGGGCACCTGCAGGGCCCAGGCCCACCCTCCTCTGCTCGCCCCCCAGCCAGCTGTAGACTTCTTCAGTGGGGACCTAATGATCCACCCAGTGACCAACCGGCCTGCAGACAAGCGCAGCTTCATCCCTTCCCTGGTGGAGAAGGAGAAGGTGGGTGTGGGCCATCCCCGGGGCGCGCCTGCCTGCCCTGCCCCCGCCCCCCTCACCTGCCGTCTCTGCAGGTCTCCCGCATGGTGCACGCCATCAAGATGGGATGGATCCAGCCTCGCCGGCCTCGGGACCACACTCCCAGCTTCTACGACCTGTGGGCCCAGGAGGATCCCAATGCGGTGCTGGGTCGCCATAAGATGCACGTTCCTGCTCCCAAGCTGGCTCTGCCCGGCCACTCGGAGTCCTACAACCCGCCTCCCGAGTACCTGCCCAGCGAGGAGGAGGTGGGCCTGGTGCACGGTGGAGTCTGGGCTGGCCCCTGGCCTGGCCCTGGCTCCTGGCTCACTCCCGCCTCCACAGCGCCTGGCCTGGGAACAGCAGGAGCCTGATGAGAGGAAGCTCGGCTTCTTGCCGCGCCGGTTCCCGAGCCTGCGGGCCGTGCCTGCCTACGGCCGCTTCATCCAGGAGCGCTTCGAGCGTTGCCTGGACCTCTACCTGTGCCCACGGCAGCGCAAGATGAGGGTAGGCTGTGGTGCCAGGCAGGGGCGGGGAGTGGGGATGGGCGCAGCTGACCCTGTGTCCTCTTCTCAGGTGAACGTGGACCCTGAAGACCTCATCCCCAAGCTGCCCCGACCACGGGACCTGCAGCCTTTCCCCACGTGCCAAGCCTTGGTGAGCAGACAGGGCGGTTGGTGGGGAGCAAAGGCCTCTGAGTGTCCGGCCTTAACCGCCCTGCCCTTTCTCTGCAGGTCTACAGGGGCCATAATGATCTTGTCCGCTGCCTCAGCGTCTCCCCAGATGGCCAGTGGTTGGCATCAGGTAGGCGCGGGTGGGGCAGCTCCGCGGTGGGGGCGGGGTGGGCTGGCCTGGAGGGCCAGGTACTGAGGGCCTGTTTGCGTGTCCAGGTTCAGATGATGGCTCGGTGCGACTCTGGGAGGTTGCCACTGCCCGCTGCATGAGGACCGTGCCCGTGGGCGGTGTGGTGAAGAGTGTCGCCTGGAACCCTCACCCCACCATCTGCCTGGTGGCCGTGGCAGTGTGAGTGAGGCCTGGGGTGCCCAGGGTGCCCGGGGTGGGGGTGGGGGGACAGATCCATGTCTGAGAACCTCCATCTGGCTCTGACTGCAGGGAGGACACAGTGCTGCTGCTGAACCCGGCCTTGGGGGACCGGCTGGTGGTGGGCAGCACGGACCAACTTCTGAGCGCCTTCACCCCACCCCTGGAGGCCGCCTCACAGCCCGCGTACTGGCTGGAAGCCTCCGAGGAGGAGCGCCAGGGCAGCCTGCGCCTGCGCATCCACCACGGGAAGGTGGGCGGGGCCCTCCCCAGGTGGAGGGCGGGGCCCTGAGGAGGGGCCGCATCTAACCCAACCTCATCTCCCTGTAGCCAGTGACGCAGGTGACCTGGCACGGGCGCGGGGACTACCTGGCCGTCGTGCTGGCCACTCCGGGCCACACCCAGGTGCTGATCCACCAGCTGAGCCGGCGCCGCAGCCAGAGCCCCTTCCGCCGCAGCCATGGCCAGGTGCAGGGTGTAGCCTTCCACCCGACGCGGCCCTTCCTGCTCGTGGCTTCCCAGCGCTGCGTCCGCCTTTACCACCTGCTGCGCCAGGAGCTCACCAAAAAGCTGATGCCCAACTGCAAGTGGGTGTCTAGCCTGGCGGTGCACCCAGCAGGTAAGGGGGTGTCCTTGGTGGGGGGGTGGCACTTGGAGGGCCACCAAATCCCCACCACCGAATCTGCCCCCAGGTGACAACGTCATCTGCGGCAGCTATGACAGCAAGCTCGTGTGGTTTGACATGGATCTCTCCACCAAGCCGTACAGAGTGCTAAGGTGAGATGCTGGTGGGCGACCGGTCACTTCCTGCCCCGAGTCCTGCCTCACTGAGCCTGGTTCCCCCCGCTCCAGGCATCATAAGAAGGCCCTCCGGGCCGTGGCTTTCCACCCCCGGTACCCGCTCTTCGCGTCTGGCTCCGATGACGGCAGTGTCATCGTCTGCCACGGGATGGTGTACAAGTGAGTGCCAATGCCCCTGCCTGCCCGTGCCCCGTGGGGACGGTTCTGCCAACGTCCTGAGTCTCTCCCTCCCCCACAGCGACCTGCTGCAGAACCCGCTGCTGGTGCCCGTGAAGGTGCTCAAGGGGCACGCTCTGACCAGAGACCTGGGGGTGCTTGACGTGGCCTTCCACCCCACCCAGCCTTGGGTCTTCTCCTCTGGGGCTGACGGCACTCTCCGCCTCTTCACTTAGACGCCCTGCCTCCGTGGCGGGGCGTTGGGGGTGGGCAACACGTGTGCACAATACAGAAATTTCTCCTGCTGGGTAACCTTCTTGAGTCAGCTTCCTAACGGGAAGGGGGCTGCTGGCCTGCCCACAAGACAGGTCACATCACCACGTCACCTGCTGAGCAGCAAATGGCTTTATTGGGAAGACGCGTCGGCGACTGACCACCCTTGCTCTGTGGGCGCAAGGCCTTCCCGCTCTGCCTGTGGGCAGGGGACTCCTTAGGGCCTCGTCTTGGACCCTCGGGCCGGCCAGGCGGTATTGGGTGTTGGGGCAGCCTCAGGCGAACTTCACCAGGCGGCCCAGAGTCTCCGCAGCCTTAGCACGCACCTGGGGGGCTGGGTCCTTGAGCAGCAGCTGGAGGGCTGGGGGACAAGGAGCCACTGCTGGGGGCTCTGCCACAGCCCTTGGAGAACTGACTGAGCCCAAGATTCCGCCCACACCCCGCTAACAGCTGCGACTGAGGCTGCCCCCCCCTTCCGGGCTCACGGAGCCTGGGGGCCAGGACCCCGAGGCTGACACCCCACCCTGTGCGTGGGGCCGCCCGCCCACCGCCCTCCTAAGACAGGCCTCTGCCGGGAGGGCTCAGGAGCCAACGGAAAGATAGTTTTTCCTTTTTTAGTGTTTTTTAAGCTCTTTTGGAACAGTTAAGAAGTTTCCGTGAATTACTAGAGACGATGAGGTCACCAGTGACAGGGAAAAAATCCTTGAAATCCAGGAAAATCACTTAGTCCCCCCTGGTGCCCACAGGGTCAGCGCAGCCCAGCATGTTGGGGGGGCGGGGGGCCCTCTGGGCTCCTGGCTGTGTGGGGCGGGGTTGGCAGGACTGGGGCTCACCCGCGAGAAGCTGCTCCAGGTCCACCTGCGGCCGCTGCTCAGCCTCCACGTGCAGCACCAAGAACCCTGTGGGGGTGGGGCCGTAGTCAGGGGCCAGTGGGGGTACTGATGTCAGGGGCCAGGTCCGTGGGGGGCGGGGTGCCCGGGGCAGCTTCACCTGTGAGCATGGAGGCGGCAGCACGGACGTCCTCCCAGCTGCTCTTGAAGTAGAACAGACTGGTGCTCAGCAAGCGGCCCAGCAAGTCGGGGAAGTGGCGCATCTGCAGAGAGGCGGTCAGGCAGGCCCCGCCCGCGCCGCCCTGCACCCCGCCCGGCCCCGCCCCGCCCCGCCGCCCAGTCCCGCCCCTCACCAGGTGCTTGCAGGTGGTGTTGAGGAACTCTCCAAAGTGCAGGCCGTGGCCTTCCTGCAGATGCTTCTGGAAGACGGCTGCCAGCTCCTCACACTCCAGGTTGGGGCCGCACATGCGCAAGGCGAACCTGCAGGCCTGCAGGGCACATGCTGAGCCCCAAGTCCCTGAGCTGGCCAGGCCTACCCATCCCCCGCGCTGCTCACCGCGACCACGGGGGCCTGGGGGTCCTGCAGGTGCAACAGAAGGGGTGCCAGACCGCCCACAACCTGCTCCAGGAAGACATCCTCGCAGTCCCCACGGCAGGCCTTGTTGAGGTGCCCAAAGAGGTGGATGGACGCCGAGCGGAACTCCATCCTTTCCTGGGCAACAGCGGGCGTCACGTGGTCCTCCCAGCCCAGCTTCCCGGGTGACCCCAGGGCAGTGAAGGGGGAGCAAGGGACAGAGTGGGCCAGGCTGCAATGGCCAGGGACGGGGGGCCTACGCTGTCGAAGAAGGGCCGAATGCGGACAGCAATGTGCAGCAGCACCGCGCGCAGGTCCCAGGCATCCACTAGGTCCAGCAGCCTTGCCAGGCCCACCATGGCCTCCAGCGCCACCAGGCTGTGTGGGTCGTCCCCATCATCCAGCCCACTGATCATGGCTGTCAGGAGTTGGGGGCCGTGGGTCTGTACCTGGGGAGGCCACACATACCTGTGTGCCCAGGCCATGCCACGCCCAGCTGCCCACCCTCTGAGCACCACCTCCGTGCCCGTGCCCACTGGGTCTACCCAGTGGCTCACCTTCTCTGGGGAGCCCGAGGCCACGTTGGCCAGCCCACGGAGCACCAACCTCCGCACGCGGGCACTCGTGTCCTTCTGCCGTGCTGTCAGGTTGTCCAGCAGCGACTCCAGAAGCATCAGGTCGTTCACCACGTTGCTGCTGAGCAGCTGGGGGCAGAGGCGTGCTGACCCCCTCCCCCCCCCAAATGCACTGGGCAGCACTGGTCCCCCGTCACTGAGGGGTCATGGCTGAGGCCAGCAGGCCAAGCCGGGCTCCTAGCCTTTCCTCAACCTCCCCTGACTCCTGACCCCAGACCCTCCTTGGCCCTGACTGCCTTGGTCTGGGATGGGTTTTCAATGTGGCTCCCCCGCCCCACCCAGGCCTGCCTGTGCGGGGGGACTTCACACTGCCCCTCCCCAACCCCGACTCATGGTCCAAAGCAAGTGCTCCTACCTCAGCCAGGAAGGCTGTGGAGGTGACCCTCTGGACCTCATACACGCTGCTCTGTGTAGCGAAGAGCACCTTCATCACCAGGGGAAGCCGGGGACCCGCAAACTTTGCCATGGCACTGGGAAGAAGGCACGCGGGCAGGGGCTAGGGACTCAGGCTGCCCCGAGCACACCAGTCCCAGGGGCCTGGGGAGCATGCCTGCCTCCCACCCTGCACCGTCTGGCCTGCTAGCTCCTCCCCCCAGCTGCCCCCGCACATCCTATGCTCAGACACGCCCCCCTCAGAGGCCTTCTCCCTGCGCCCAGTCCGCGGCACCTACAGAACTCAGCTGCCCTCATGGACTCCCCGCCGCCCCACGCACTGCCCATTCACCTGGCCAGCTGGGTAACGCCCTCCTCGTGCCCAGCTGAGGTCTTGAGCAGCTGCCAGCCCCCATTCAGTTCCATGTGCTGCACCACGTCCTCGTTGCCACCACGGACAAGCACGGCCTGCAGCGCGTCCACCGCAGAGCTGCAGAGACGGCGCAGGCTTGGCTGGCGCTGGCAGGGCGCAGCTCTGCTCCTTGCACGCGCGTGTACACACACCCGCTTGTGCTCTTAGAAGACATGCCCTGGGCCCCCCAGCCTGTTCCCTGCCAGCAGGGCCCCTCTCCCTGGGCAGCACTGTGGACCCTCTGCTCTTGCAGGAGCTGAAGGGGTCCCAGCCTGTCCCCAGGCCCCACGACTGAGTGCCAAGGGGAAGGTGCGGGCACAGCCAGTGGCACCAAGCCAGCAGGGCCTCACCCCTGTGGCAGCTGCGCCCCTACAGGGCGGGGGCCAGAGCCCAGCCAACTGAAGGTGGGGGCCCAGTCAGTGTGGCTGAGGACGCAGGCTGCACTCAGGGTGGGCCCGCTTGTAACCTGCCAACCCCAAGCACTCCCCAGGGAAGGCGCAGCTCGGGGTCATCTGGTGCCCAGCCCCCCGCCCCCCACCCCTGGGAAGCTACTTCCAGCAGCCAACAGTCACGGCCTGAGGGGGCCAGGCCAGGCCCACTCACCTGCAAGGCTCAAGGCTCCGCGAGGCCAGGCCTGAGCTGGCGCTCCTCCTCTCCTTGGCCTGCAGGTGCCGGGGTGGCTGGACACCCATGGTGCAGCTGACCCGCAGCAGCAGTGCCGCAAACAGCTGGGGATAGAGCTCCAGCACCGCTGGCCCAGACGCCAGGGCAGATGCGACCTCGTGCAGTGCACAGGTGGCCTGCAGACGGGCCCCCTCAGCCTTCGCCCCTACCCTCAGGGTAGGCTCAGCGAACGCTGGACCCTGCGCCCGAGACAAAAACCAGCCCGCAACCCCTCTTTCTTTGCAGGCACTCCGTGTACCCCGAGGTCTTGGGCCCTGTGAGGGGTGGCCATGGGGGTGGGACGAGGAGCCCAGCCCTGTCCGGCTTGGCCCGCAGGGCAGAAGGCAGGCCCAGGGCAGTGTGGCCACCTTGGGGACTGGCTCCCAGCATCTGCTCTCGGCTCCTCAGCAGGAGGAGGAAATTCTTGCAGCTGCTTCACTGTGGAAACGCTGCCAAGCTGGGTTTATTTTTTTCCCCGTAGGATGAAATAGAGTGGGCTCCCTTGGGGGCCTACACCTGCGGGGACTTTATGAGCCTGGGCTCACAGCTCACTGGCTCTAGGGTTCCCATCAGCTGCCAGGTGCCAGCAAGGCGCAACCCAGGCTCCCCATGGGGCCCACTGGCAGTGGCCACGTGGCCCCTCATCCCCTCCTGGGCCCAAGAGGGAGGGCAGAGGGGGCAGTGTGTGCCGGCCCAGCCCCCACTCACTGCGAGGGGCAGCAGGGTGGCCACGCGGTCCGGCGTGCTACTCAGCAGGAAGGCCCGGCTCTCCTTGAACGGGACGTCCCTGCTTATCTTCTCCAGGAGCAGCCCCAGGACCTGTGCGGCGAGGCCGGGCTCCAAGGCCAGTGCTCGCCACAGGGTGCAGGTGTGGCTGGAGGGGCAGAAGAACGACCCCTCTGAGGCCTCTGCCGGCCCCCGGCACCATAGCCCTGGCATGCCCACCGGCCTCGGCTCCAGCCAGGCTACAAACAGCACCCTGACTCCAGGCCCTGACTGACCCCTTCCTCCAACCCAGGGGCCTAACCAGGCAGCCTGATGGTGAGCAGAGACCCAGTGGTGGGGAGGTGTCCCCTGGAGCTGCCAGAAGCAGACACTGGGCTCCCTAGAGGAGACACTGTCACCCCAGCTCCGAGGACACCTGCTCAGGTCACTTCTCCTGAGCAAAGGGCAGCATGTGACCAAAGAGGCGTGCAGGTGAGGTCAGGCGGAGGCTGCAGGAGGCCCGAGCAGCCCCAGCCCCAGCATTCACACAGGGTGCGGCTGTGGGGCACGTTTACAGGGAAAAGCGACAGACTTCAGAACCAGGAACTAAACACGGGGTGCATCTGGAAGCGAACCAACAGCCCTGGAGAAATGAGACATGCAGCGCTGTGCTTGGTGACGTACTCAGCATCAGCCTGGACACGGCAGGAGAGAGAAATGGTGAACTGGAAGACAGTGGAGGAAGTTGCCCAGAACCCCGTAGGGAAGGGTCATCGGATGTTCATTCAGAAGCAGAGGTGTCGGGGGCAGGGCGGTGGGAGTGAGCGCACATTCGAGTGGTGTCTCACAAGCAGAGGGGAGACAGTGTCTGAAGAAGACAGGCTGAAAATCGGGAGAGCTGACGACACTCACTCACAGGCTCAAGGAGCCAGGGAGCCCCCTGGCAGGACCACGAACAGAAAGCCTCAGACCCCTCTCTGCCAGAAGGTGCAGAGCGCCATCAACAAGGGACGCCCAGTGCTCATCCCTCGGCCTCAGCCCCAGCTGGGCTTACAGGAGCCAGAAAGGACACGTCCTCTTACTCAAACTAAAAGGAAGCATGTGCCAAGCTCGAGCTCCAAACCCGGCAATCGCCGGGGAGAGGGACAGCTGAGTAAACGCAGTCCAGACGCACAGGAGTGCAACTTCCAAACTAACTGAGTGAAAAGTGAAATTGTAACAAGACCCTGTCAATCTAAAAAAGACAGTAAGGAAAATAAAAAAGATTGAGGGAAGAAAAATAGGCAGTTGGTTTAATACCAACCATATCAGCCATCAAGTGCGGTTTACTCTGGGAAAGGGACAGCCCTAGAGCGCAAGGGGAAAAAGGCCGACAGCGATGGCAGGAGGGGCAGTAGCAAACGGGACCACCACGTCTGGGGAGCGGTGCCCGCATCCGAGCAAGAGCCAAGCAGGCCGTAGGAGCCCCAATCTGGGGCAGGTGCAGGCGTAGGTGCTTCGGGCCGCGGCCACAGGGAAGGATGCGAGGCCTCCCTGTCCCCTGGCACGGGGATCTCCAGATCACGGGTGCCGCCTCCACCCACCACGTGGACCCAAAGAAAGGCATGCCCAGCGGGCCCTGAGCTTTGGAGGCACTGGGAGAGGAGCAAAGGCCGCCTGGAGGCCTCAGTGGAGGAGCAAGGGCCCCAGGGTCTGTGGGGACCCACAAGGCCCGGCACAGGCACGGGTGTGGACACGCCCTGCCCTGAGAACCCAAGGACGGGAGCTCGGGAGCCAGGGGTGTCCGTGGCAGATGGAGACCCTTCTTGGCTCAGGGTCCTGCTCATGGATGAGGGTGGATGGAGGCCCGGCAGAGCACCAGCCCCAGAGAACTGGCCAGCACTGCCCGTGAGAGTGAGCCATCTCCACCCGGCCCAGTGCCAGGGCCTCCAGGCTCCCACACACAGGATTAGGGGGCCCATGAATACCTGGTCAGGCGGGGGGACACCAGAGCATGGAGCCCCATCCATCCCTGCAGGTGGGTGGGCACCAGGTACCTGTCAAAGGGCAGGGGGCTGCCCAGAAGACTGGACACCACAGCAGCGTGGTGGTGGGTGGCCAGGACAAACACGCTGTGCTGTGCGGCCTGTAGGACGTGCTCCTCTCGGGTCTCCTGCAGCTTGGAGCGCAGCACGCTCACAATCTCCGGCACCTGTGGGCAGGCGGTGGTCAGGCCAGCGACAGGACACGCCTGTGTGGGTGCCGATCCCTGGGGCCAGGGAGGCCAGTTCCCCCCAGTGACATCGGGGCTCCTCGCTGCCAGCCCTGACGAAGGAGAACAGGAGCCAGAGCCCTCAGGGCCAAGGGAGTTGACTCACAGCCCCAGAGTCCATGTGGGAAGGGACAGGAACCCAAGAGGGGCCTGTTGGCGGGAGGAGCCAGGACAGACAGACAGATAGACACACACACACAGCCTGAGGGGACAGAGTGGGAGGGCAAGGCCACCGCGGTGAGTGCTGAGGCTCACAGGATGACCCTGCCTCGGCCCCTGCAGGCAGGACACGGCTGCCCACTGCTCACCGGGAAGCACCCCGTCCCTCCTCCCAGGCCGCAGGGCTTGGCTGGGAGGGGCGGGCTTTCTAGCCACGGCGGCTGCATGGCAGCAGGTGGGCAGCAGGGCACATGGCGGCCTGAGCTGAAAGGGTACCGCCCCGCACTGTCCAGGCTGGACAGCTGAGAAGCACCCTGCTGTGAGGCGCAAGCTGGATGACAGAGCACTGGCCACGGCCCCACGGGCCGGGCCCCCTGGACGGGGAGCTGGCAGCCATGGGCTCCGCCCCAGGGCAGGGCTGGCTGAGGACCTCTTGGGGGCCCCAGGCCCAGGAGCAGAGGGAACGGCCCGCCGAGCTCTGACGGGGACCCATGCCCACAGCAGGAACAGGGGCAGGGGGGAGATGCAGGCACCGTGTGTCCAGTGTCCAGCCTGAGGGAGGGGCTCTGTCACCACAGTTCTCAAAGGATTTGTAAACATAACGAAGTCCTTCTCTTTCTATGACCATGAGTCCAGAAGGCTGACGACCTTCTAAAGACCTGGACCTCTTTGCTGTGGCTCTGCCCATCGGCCCCGGCCCTCGGCCCGTCCAGCTGTGTGCCTCCCTGACCAGCCGGCTGCCGCCACACTGAACCTGCTCAGGGAGCCTGGCGGGAGGGTGGGGCTGAGCTGACTGTGGCTGGGTTCTTGTCTCGGCCGTGGGCGTGGGCCCAGTGACATTCGCAGGTGTATGGGCTATGATTGCACCATCCACCATGCCACTGGAACAGGCCACACTGTCTCTGGGGCAAGGAGCGTGGCTCGCTCCAGTCTCCCGGGCTCTTTCTCGGCCGTGAGAGGCAGGGCTCCCCAGAAGACCCCAGGCCTGCCCGGCTGGCACTGATGCGGTTTTCACAGGTGCAGGTGATAGTGGCGCCCTGCGGAGGCCAGTCCCTCACCTCAGGTTCTTAAAGTCCACTGGAACATAACTGGCCGTATGTACACTTGACTGCATTTCAAATTTCTGCAAGTAATTTTTTCCCTGTTTCCTTTTGCTCCCTTGGGTGTCAGTCTGTCTGAGACACTGTCTCAGCTCATCCGTCTCTGTTGTCTTTGCTTCTGCAGACTTTCTCAGCAGCGATACCCATGGGTGCCAAGAGCCGCTTGGCCCTGACACTCTGGAGCCGTGATGGCACTCTAGCGCTCAGGTGTGGCGGCTCTGGCTGTATCCGCACTGGGTTCTCTGCTTCCCGGGACTGGTGAGAGGGGCCCACCCAGCCCAGGGAGCTCAGGGCCACCTCAGGCCTGCTGGGCTGCTCCACACTCACCCTCAGCAGCCCACGCCCACGCTTCTAGACTGGGACCCCCTTCAGGGACCTCCTCCTTAACTTGCACAGATTCCCGTGGGCGCGGCTGCCTCACCCAGGCACATGCCCGGGAGGAACCACTGGGTGGGGTCCCTCTGCCTCAGGTCTGCCCGCCACCTCTGTGGGGTGGTGCTGCTTCCCACGCCAACACGTTGGGAGGCAGCTGTTCGTTCCTACCACGTCCCTCTGCCCTTGACACCCAGTTCCTTCTGCGCCCATCTGACCATCCTGGCGTGTTGGGGCAGGGGTCAGCACAGTCACGGGTCACCAAATAGGACCCCTTTTTCTGATCTGGTATCAGAGAAACTCAAGTCCGACTGTGCAGGTGTCTCTGGGGGTCCCCCGGCACGCTCTCGGGGCAAGAAAGGAAACGGCACCGATGGTGCCGATGCCGTGTCCCTGTCACGTGAGCTAGAGGGGGTCTGCCGCAGACAGGCTGGAAGCGTGAGGCAGGGACGCCGCCCGGGGGTAGGTGTGCTGAGCGAGTCTGCAGGCTGAGCCAGAGGAGACAGCCTGGCAGCTCTGGAGGCCAGCAGCCGGCTCAGCACGTGGGCCCGGGGAGAGGCACCCTGATTTATCCAGGATGGGCAGGGCTCAAAACTACTAGTAAACTCCTAGAGAAAGACGGAAATCTTAAGGACACTAGATTTGGTAATGACTCCTTGGAAATGAGCCTCAAAGCACTGCATGTGGAGCTGCAGCAAAATACATGATCTAGGGAGAAGACAACCTATGCAGAAACACCTGCCAGTCGTCTGTCTGATAAAGTGTTAATTTGAGAGTACAGGCAGCTCCTGCAGTTCCAAAATGACATCAAATCCAATAACCTGATCTGGAAATGGGCAGGGACGTGGACTTCTTCTCTGAAGAAGACAAACAAATGGCCGGCAAGTCATCCACATCACTCACTGCACAGGAAGCGCAAGTTGAAACCAGTATGACATGCTGCTTCACACACATCAGGGTGGCCACTATCAAAAACATAGGCATTGACAAATACTGGCCAGAACCCCCATGCCCTGCTGGTGGGAACGTAAACTGGTGGAGTCACTATGGAAAACAGTACAGCAGTTCCTCTGAAAATTCAGAATAGAATCACCATAAGATCCTGCATCTCCACTTCCAGATGTTCACCCAAAATAAAACAGGATCCTGAAGAGATATGCCTTTCACCCATGTTTACAGCAGCATGACTCACAACAGCCAAGAGAAGGAAGCACACCAAGTGTCTGTCAACAGAGGAACGAATCAACAAAACGTGTGCATATACATACAGACACCAGGACCACCAGCGGCCACGGCCTGCAGTCCAGCCTGTCCCCCTCCCCCGACACAGAGCCACCAGGCTACCTTTCTACCACTCAGAGATGACCCAGAAGCCCCACTCAGTGCAAAACCCGAACCTTGGCCTGTCAACCCCTGACCATCGCTTGCAGTCACACCCTCCTCCATCCTCTTTCCACTCCCCACCCCACACCCTCAGGCCCTGGCTGGGGCCCCACGGTGGCACACGTTCCCCTCCAGGCGGCACATACCGCCCCCGCCCCCACCTCAGCAGACAGCCCCTCCACACAGGGCTTCTCCACTGGCAGCTCCTCCTCCGCCTCCCCCCCAGAAGACACCTGTGAGGGACCCATCCAATACAGGACTTGTACCCAGAATATACAAAGTACTTCTGCAAACCGGTTAAGAAAAGCACAGACCACCCAGAAGAAAATGGCCAAGATCACTCTCCTCATGGAGGAGATCTGAGTAGCCAAGAAACGTGCAAGTGTTCCAGTTCATAAGCCACAGAGAAATGTGCACGAAGAAGCTGGGACAGCCCCGTGGCCGTCTGATAGCCCTGGGATAGCAGCACAAAGGCCTCTCCTGTGGCCCCAGTCACTTTCCTGGGCATGTCTCCAACCGAAATGCACCCTCAGGTCCAAAGGAGCCCGACTCCAGGAGCACTCTCATGCTCATACTGGGAACTGCCCAGTGCTCGCTGAGGTGGGCGGGTGAGGGAGTGATGGAGCGACCCACATGGGCCAGGCCTGGAAGACACATGCCGTCCCACAGACGACAGCCATGCAGGCCAGACGTGAGGCGCCTTCTACACGAGGTGCATCCCAAGCCCTGCTCTGTGCTGTGGAGAGCTTGTGGCACCCTATGGGGCCAGCTGGGGTTCCAGGGGCTCTGAGGTTGGTGGGGCCTCTGCTCCTGTCTGTGAACCCCAAGGCTGTGCACTTAGCACAACCTTCCTTTCTGTTGCTATGCTTCACTTTAATAGGGAGCTTAAATCTTTGTCCAAGCATATGGGACCCCACCTGCTGGGCCATCCGGTTCATAGGATTCACGGGAAGCTGTGAATCTAGCACTAATAGAGCAGTCACCTGAGCTTTGGAGCCTGTTCAGGCCTCAGGACCTGAGCACGTCTGTCAGGGTGGCTGGCAACCATGTTTGGGAACCACGTGGGCTGCCACGTGAGCTCATGGCCAGAAGGCCTCAAAGGTGATGATGGGATGGTGGATAGGGCAGGATCTGAGTGGCCCGGACACCTCTGCTCTGGACTGGACCTGCTGCAGAAGCCTCTGTGCCAGCACCTGGTGACCCTGTGGACCCCTGTCCTCACCAGCAATGTGAGCAGGGCGCTTAGTCCGTGCCAGCTCAGTGCCCAATCACAGTCCCTAGCACTGGCCTTTCCCTTTCAACTGCCTTTTCTACCTTTGCGTTCTAAGCAGTTACTTTCACTTAGTTCAGTCTTCACAGAGAAGAGAAAGATTTATCCAATCAGGCCCACAGGGAGAAGCGCAGAGTGCTGAGGTCCAAAACTCCACAGAGCAGGCGTTGGGGTGAGAGAGTGGGGTGGGGAGCCCCAGGTTACCAGCCCTGCCCACCGGCACTCCCGGCTGACCGGCTAGACATGACCACGCCCACACTACGCGCCTAAGGAGCTCTAGACCAGGCCCTGCCCTGCCCACGCCTGGCCCTGCCTCCAGGCCCCACCTTCTCCTGCAGCATGTTGCCCCGCTCCTTGAGCAGGCAGTTGATCATGACAGTGGCGGCTCGAGAGCAGTTCTTGTCGGGATCTCCCAGGCCCTCAAACAAGGTTAGCAAGAGGCTGATGAGCTGATCTGGCGGGAGGCGCTTGGCAATAATCTAGGAGGACAGTTGCGTCAGGAAGACAAAGAGGAGGGGGTCAGCACACCTTCGGGGCATGGATCCGAGGGACTCAGCTTCTCAGGGAAGGACTGACCCCTCTCAAACCCTCCTCCAACTTTTCCCACCCTCTTACAGGCCCTTAAAGCCTTTGGAGCTTCTGCCAGTGCCAGGTGGGGTGACCCACACCCAGGCCCCTCCCCAGACTGAAGCCAGATCTAGGTGCAGCCCATGGCCTCCAGGCTCAGGCCTCTGGAAGGGGGTCCCTGGGCATCTGCAGGGCCCAGGTCAGCGCCCTGCCAGAGGTGCCTCCTGACCAGCGGAGTAAGCTAGGAGTGGTCCTGGTGTGCAGCCTCTCTAGAGTCAAGGGCAGATGGGGGCATGCTCTACGCTGGATTGCCCAGCCTCGGAGGCTCCAAAGCACCCTCAGCTCCTCCCACAGCCTAGCAACAGAGGAGAGTCCCTGGCCTCCCTCCACATAACAGAGAGCAACCAGAAGTTGGGGCAGATAAACTCTGTACAGAGAAGAAATAAAGTCACAGAAGTGGATGAATATCTAGAAAGTCTGGCCCCAAACATGAAGTCCCTGCTCCCCCTGGACTCTCCTTGGGCTGGGTCTTCGCTTCTCAATGCCTGAGCCCCCATGACCCCCACAAAGCGCCCTGCTGACCCCCTTCCCTTCCATCTTCAGCAGGAGAGAAAGAGCCTCCAGACCCGTGAGAGCCATTTCCAGTCACCAGGTAGCACAGAAGCACTGCCCTGGCTTGGGAGTCACGGGGTGGGCTAGGGCAGCTTTCTCAACCTTGTGGAGTCAGGAGCTGAGCTCCTGCCACCCCCCACTGGGCCCCGGAGGGTGGGCCCAGCAAGTGCATGAGGGGCAGGGGTGCTGGACACGGAACTCTGAAAAGACCTCCCTGTCTACCCAGCTGGCACCCACAGAGCCCGTACATGCAAGGAGCTGCTGCAGTGGCCACTGGCAGGTACCTGGGCAATGCTGTGGCAGGTGTGGAAGAGAATGGTGGGGTCAGGGTGCGCCAGGCCATCCTTGAGGCTGAGGAGCTGCTCAGCCACGTCATCCCGGTAGTCTCGCGAGAAGCCTGCAAGGTGGCAGGGCGCGTGGGGTGGGCACAGGCCTTCCCTGGCCACCAGAGGCCCAGCCTCTGCTCCCTCATCCCCTCAACACACACACACTGCTGCCCAGCCGGGGGAGCTCACCCTCGTAGCCCAGCTGCAGGTACAGCAGGGAGTGGACGCAGTTCACAGCCTCTCGGCGAGTGGCAGGCCAGAGGTCAGCGCACCGTGGGGAGAAGAGGCCAACAAGGAGGCCCAGGTTGTGGAAGGGCACCAGGGCCTGGAGAGGCAGACGTGGGGGTGCTGTGGGGATGCTGGGGGCAGACAGCCAGAGACGGCACTGGGGCTCAGGAGTCACTGGGGTGGGCAGGTACCTGCACCCCCTGGATCCAGATATGGGTGGGCGTGTGACCAGAGGGCAGCCCTCCTCCACCTCAGGGTGGGTCCCAAGAGGGACGAGAGCTGGGCAAGCAGGGGTGTGGACAGGGTATGGCTGGCCTCTGCTCACTCCTCAGACACATGGGAATCCCTGCCCCAAAAGCCAAGGGGTGCTACACGAGCCCTTTCATCCCCATGGGGACTGGGCCTGTTCTTCAGAGCCTTTCCTGCTCTCCTCCCAACCCTGCTCTGGCCAAAGGGCCTTGCTTCCTACGCCCCAAACCGGGGGACATCAGCTACCCACCCCCAACACACAGCCCACACCAAGCAGCCTCCCAGGGAAGCGCCACCATGCGCCCCGCCCAGCACAGGCTCGTGAAGGATGTGGGGTTCCAGGCTGCTACTCCTCCTGAAACCAGGGGAAGGCTGGACGGGGATTGGGGACCACCAGCTGCGTTCCTCTCCATAAGGGCAGAGCCCTGTCTCGTCACGAACAAAAACTGAACTCTAGTTGGACCAGGTTTATGTGAAAAACAGGCCATGGGAGAACCTGGGTGGGAAAACCTGTCTAAGCCAGCCAACAGACGATGCTCTGAACACAACCAAAAAATAAACACTGCTAACCAACAAGCATCTCGCTTGACATTTAGCGGCTTGGGGCCACCGCCAGTGTTCACCTTCCTGCTGTCAGCAGCACAAGCCCACAGGCGTCGGGATGGTGAGAAAGGTCAAACTCATGGCCTTTGTGAACGGCTGTGGCTGTGTGTCTTAAGAGCAGAGAATTAACTAAAAACTCGTTAAGAGTCACAGAGGAATCTTATTCCTTATAAACTACCCAGTTCCTACCAGTTCCCAAGTATCCAAAAGCCCAGTTCTCCTGCCTACCGCAATAAGTAAATGATTATGTACAGTGGAGACAGCAGTGACAGACCGTGCCTCTGCTAGGGCTGGGGGCCGGGGTGGCCAGGTCCATCATTGTCAGCACAGGAGCCCTGTCAAGGCCACGCGGGAGTGTGGGAGGACCACGCCAGTCCACCCTAAAGCCAGTAGAGTAAGGGCCTTGTAAGAACAACTGTGAAGTTCTAACAAGGGAAGAGGAGCTGCTGAACCCCAACAAATACTAAAATGCAGAGTAACCGTGCGGCTCTGGGAGGCGCTCCTTCCTACCGCTCCAACTAACAGTGCTGTCTTCACCGCTGCGCTCCAGGGGTTCACAAGTCCCCACCTTGGCCCGAGCTGCGGCTTCTGCCTCCAACACCCTCCACTCCTCCTCTCACGTGGGGGTCCCCATCACCCTTCCCTGCATTGGGCGGGCTCCCAAGGACGAGGCTGCCCATCAGATTCAATGCTGAGTGGCCAGCCCTGAGGACACTTGCTGACTCTTGTGGTCCTCTGTCCACAGCTCAGGAGAGGACAGTGCTGCTCACAGCACTGGGCAGTGGGAGATGTGAGGGCCCCACACTGTGGTCCCCGGGCCAGGGGACGGGCATGGGGCCGGGGAGGGGCCGTGCAGGCTGCCCTGGGGCACTCACACTGATCTGCAGGTGTTCTAGGAAGAACTGCAGCAGGCAGGCACTCAGGCCGAGTGCCCGCACCCGTTCGTGGCCCCTCGGGGACTTGATCCATGGGTTCAGGTGCTGGGGAAGAAGGGGCTTCAATAGGTGCAGCTTGGGGCAGCCTCCCGGCCAGGCCACCCTCTGGGCATGGGGGCCAGTGCGCCAGGTCAGAGTGGGCCCCCTGGGCAGCGCCTCCCCCACCCCGTCATTCTGTCCTGCTGGCCTGGCTCATGGCCATGGCCACCCCTGGTGGACTCTCTAGCCATGCCCACGCAAGGACATGGTGTTCCCAGACATGGGTCCATGCTGCCCCAGCCCACAGCCACCCACCCACCATCATGATGGCCTCAGAGGGTCAGGAGTGCCCATCTGGGGCACCTCAGGGTCTCTCTGTCTGGGCCCCACGATGGGGGAGCAGAGAGATCGAGCTCCGAGCCCCTGTCTGCTCAGACTGCACCCGTCTGCATACCCCCCAGGCCAGAGGGGCCCTGCTTACTGGCTCACAGGCCACCTCCCACTTGCACAGAGCACCATGGCCCGCCACACACCTCCACCATGACCTGCAGACCCTGAGGCGTCATGTTCCGCTGAAGGAGGCTCGTCAGCAAGTCCTTGAGGGCCTGCATGGTGTCCAGGTACAGGGACTGGAACAAGAGAAGCTGCCAGTCCTGCTGTGACCCCCCCACCCGTGGACAGGGCCACCGCGGGGGCTGCTGATAGCTCCTGGGGGCTGTCCCCCACCTCCCACCGCAGGGGCCGCTGATACCTCCTGGTGGCTGTCCCCCTCCTCTGGCTCAGGCAGCATGGCCATGACACTGTGCAGGCAGCTGTGAATCAGGTCCGCCTGCACCTGCTCCTCCAGGGCTGGCTCCAGGGTACTGAGCCGCCAGTTAAGGCCCAGTGCTCACGCAGAGGGCCCCCCCACAGCTGCCCCCCAAGGAAAGGATACACCAGATACGTGCAGGCGAGCATAGCCTTCTTCCGAATGGGCGTCCTCAGCGAGTCTGGGGGCTCTGCTTTGATGAACTCCTGGGGGAGCAGCCGCAGGGCAGCCCTTGGCCAAAGCTCCAGCTTGCCCCCAGGTCAGGCCCCACAACCCAGGGGCTTGGCCCTCCCCAGCCCACCCGCTCTCACCACCATCTGCGCCACCAGCTCGGCCTTCCTCGAGAGGTGGAAGGAGCCACCATGGGCGCTGCTGCAGACGGCCTGGGTGGCCATGCACACGCTCTGCACCAGGCTCAGTCTCAGGGCTGGGTCCTGCAAGGACAACCGGGCTGCAGGAGCCGCAGAGGCCCGAGGCCCACGGGCTGAACCCGGCAAGAGGGGGCCACCCACAGCGGTGAGGCCAGGCCGCCGGCCACTCTCCTGCAAGCTAGATGTGGACTCCCCTCCAGTCTACGGGCTCTCGGCCAGTCCTCCACGTGGGCCAGGGTGGGTCTGTGAAGGAACCCGAGGCCCCTGGCTGTGGGCCTGACCTGGGGGTCCCAGGGTCACAACCCTGGGCAGATGACTGCAGGCTCGTCATGCACCATCCAGCTGCATCCCCCAGGTGGAGGGGACGCTGCTGCCGGCAGAGCCCCAGCAGACGACTGGCCCCCAGCTCTAAAGGGCTGAGTCAGAGAGGTCACAGAACAGCCCTGGCCCAGTGACCCCATGAGACCCAGGGTGGTGGGGGTCTGCTCTTCAGGGTGACAGCCCGGCCACTCCCAGAGAAGGTTCCCAGGTTAGTGCCAAAGTCCACAGGGAGTCGTGTTAGTGAGGCAGAGGCTGCTGTCCTGGATGCAGAACTCCCCCGACCAGGCGCTGGCGGAGATGGAGTGGAGCCAGGAGAGGGGCATAGTCGAGGCCCCCAACCAGCCTGCGAGCCACCACCTCCCCTCCGTCCCCCCTACCTCTGGGGCCTGGGCCAGGGCAGGAGCTCCTAGGCCCCAGAGGGCCATCCTGCAGGCCTTGCCTGAACTGGGACTACGACGCCCTGGGAGCGCCCCGCTGCTGCCCCAGCTGCCGCCCGGCCAGCCCAGACAGAGGAAAGAGCTCAGGCCCCGCACACTGTACCTTGGTCTCTACTTTTATCCCCAGAACCTGGATGACAGAAGTGAGACAAGTTACATAAGAGGCTCCTGAGGCAGCGCCCCGCCCCGAGCCTCTGAGACACCCAGACGCCCACCTTGGTGCTGAAGCACTGGGACATGTTCCGGAACACGTCCGCCTCCACCCTGGCCAGCAGCAGCTCACGCGGGGCCCGGGCCGCCACATGCCCGTAGCACAGGATCAGTGCACTCCTCACTTTGTCGGCCTCGCTCTCGCTCCGATCCTGAGAGGTCAGAGCTCTGTGACAATCACACCCCGAGCAGGAGCCACGCCCTCTGACCCCAGGTGCCAAAGAACGGCAGAGCCGGTCTGAAAGAAGATGCCACTTGACCGAGGAGACCCCATGTCTGGGGCCTGTTGGGGACCAAGGGTCAGAGGGGAAAGGATGCAGGGGGGCACCACGGCGGGAGGGGCAAGCAGGAGGAGGGGCTGGGGGCTTAGAGCAACCAAAGGGCCGGGTGGGGTCCCCGTCATCGCTTGGGTGGCTGCCCATGGCCCCTATGTCCTCGGGGCTTGTTCACACTATATCAGCCCGAGACCCTGGCACTGGTAACCCCAGTCCAGGGAGACGGGCTGGGGTGGGAACAGACAACGCAGGTGCTTCCCCTGCACCAGCTTCAGCCTGCGTGCAGCGTCCACCGGCCACCAGGGGGCAGATGACACACAAACTGGAGGCGGGACAGAAAGGGGCTGTTCCCATCCTGCTGCCCAGAGCCGGTTCGTCGCCCCCCACCCCAATGTGCGAGGGAGCCCACACACACCAGCCCCACCCATGAGGAAGCAGAGACTGGAGGCCAGCTCTCTGCCCCACCCCCAGCCTGCAGGGCACTGAGCCCAGGAAGCTCTAGGACTAACCCCATCCGCCCTCCCGAACCTCAGCATGCTGGCACCACAGCTAAGACAAAACCCCGGGGCCAGCCTACTCCAGGCCTCCCTGTTAGCTGTTAACCTGACCGTGCTACCTTAAAAATGTTGAAAATGCCGGCAGATTTTCTGAGCATGTCTGACTTCACAAAGTCTTCCAGCTGGGCCAGGGTGTCATCCAGGTGGGAGGTGGCACAGATCCCAAAGCAACAGGCAAGGCCCTGGGGAGGCACAGGTGCACTCACACCTGGGCAAGGTGGGGCGGGGGACACGCACACACGCGCACACACTGGGGGGCAGCCACCTCACGCTCCCTCTCCTCCTGGTATCTGGCCGTCTCCAGCAGCTCCTGCAGGTGCTTCCTCACCACCTCCTTACTTGAAGCGGCACCCAGGGTGGTCCCGACACATTTGTACAGGAAGTTCTGCGACGAAGCCAGACAAGGGGTGGCGCCAGCCCCCCAGTGGAGGCATGCCCTCAGTGGGGCACTCAGTGCCTGCACCATGGGCCAGGCACACCACTGCACACCACTGCAAGGGCCAGGCGCGCTCTGCGCGGTGTCTGAGGAGCAGCAGGCGGGTGTGGAGCGCTGCGTCTCCAGCCGCCAGCCCACAGCCTTCTGCTCCAGGTCCTGCCAGGACCACAGCAGCCACCAGACAGGCTCAGGGAGCAAGAGACGGAATCAGGGGACAGGATCGAGGGCCTTGCCCACGGCACTGCTGGCAGTGTGTCCCCCTGCACCTCCTCCTGGAGGAGCTCCTCCCGGGCTCCCTTCCCCCCTCCCCTCCTCCTGGGGCTCCCCTCCCCGTGCACCTTCTCCAGGGGCGTCCCGTTGTAGTTGGGTAGCTGCTTGCACATTTCCAGGGTCAGCTGGCAGACCCAGGTGTTGTCGGACACGACAGCCAGGGAGTCCCGGAGAAACTGCGGGCAGGAACTCTACCAATGAGGGCGGGCTCAGCCTCTCCCTGGCCGGACTAGGGGAGAACCCAAAGCCCCTGGTGCCATAGGCGGTGACCACAGTTCCTGTGCCATAGCTCCGAATGGCCATAGATAACTTTGAAGCCAAGACAGAAATTCTGGGTGGTGAGGCGTGCAGCACACAGGCACTAAGGGCCTCAACCAAGCAGGGGACTGGACGGGGGGCTCTCTGGCCAGAGCAGCCCCTGTGATCTAACCGCATCTCAGCACACAGTCCTCACCCCAGAGACACTCACCTGTCCCTCCACCCCTCCCCATCACCACCAGGTCAAGGCAAGCACCACCACTCTGGGAGGTACAGTGCCCCCAGCACCCACTGCCCCAGCCCTCCCCACCCGGGCCAGAAAAGGGCCTGTGCCCAAAGCAGGCTCTCATCTCTTCCTCTTCTCTCACCATCAGCAGCTTTTCTTCCCACTCCTTCTGTGACAGGGTTTCTTCACTGTATTCTGAAATGACCAGTCACCCGCTTAGCCTGGCAGACAGCAGTGGAGAGCTCAGAGTCCCCTCCACCAGGCCCAGGCCCTTTTGGCTCCAGGATAGAAGAAGAAAGGGCCCACATCCAGTAAGCTGGCAGGTGACACCAGGCAGCAAGCATCTTTCCAGCCCACTCTCCAGGCCCTTTCCTGAACCACAGCAGAGGCGATTTCTTCCAACTTTTAAAACCCTGGTCTCCAGTGCCCAGCCTTGATGCCAACAGGCAACAATTGGGGTCAGAGGAGGAGCAGCAGCGCCCCACCCCGGGCCTCACCGTCCAGGTGCTCCAGCAGCAGGGGGATGGCAGTCGCCCACCGCTGACCCAGGGCCGGGTGGATGTCCTGATGCAAGACACTCAGGAGGCGCAGTGAGGCTGCCCCGCGACCATCCCCCACATATGGATTGGAAGACACGGCCTGCAGGAGGCAGAGTTGGGGTCTCCACCAGCGTCCTGGGCCACAGTGCTCCACCCGAGGCCAAGCATGGATACCCAGGTGGGGGCAAGGAGGCCCCAGAGATGCAGCTCCCCAAATCCTTCCCGGAGTGCCCGATGGTCCTTCCCAGGGCAGTGACAGCACGAGGGTAGGGCGACAGGGACTAGGGGAGCGTCCACGCCCCCCCTGACGCCCCTCAGAGTGGGCACTGCCCGGAGGCCACCTGGCCGGGAGGAGAAGCCGCTGAGGACTGAGTGGCTACTTACCAGGAGTCTGGTGGTGATGGCGTAGGGAGACGGGAGGTGCACTGCAGGGAGACAAACCATAGCACTCAGGGCCGCCCCTTGGGGGGCAGGTGGGGGAGGGCTGGGCTGGGGCAGGGCACACCGTTGCCGTTGTACTGGATGAGGGGGGCATGGGCCCCCGCCTCCTGCCTCTTCTGGGCCAAGTGCACAAGGCTCCTGCAGAGCGGGCTCAGCGCCCCGGTGAAGCGGACGGGGACCAGGAACTCAAGCAGGTACGGCCAGAGGACCTGGGGGCAGCACAGGGTGTGTGGGAGCCCAGACCCGCAGCGCTGCCTCCCCGCACCCACGGCCTCCCCGCACCTGCTCCCAGACCGAGGGGTCAGGAGCAGGGTGATGGGTCCCCCAGGGCGGGGGCGCTCACCTCACCCATCCTGTCCACAGTGGTGCTGACCAGGTAGAGGGTGCTGACGCTGATGGCCCGCACGCTATCGGCCGCCAGGGCCTCACTGTCAGTGCCTGGCTTCTGAGGCTGGGGGGCGGGAGGGCAGGATGCTGTGCACTCTGCTCTGCAGGGCACCAGTCATGGGTTCTGGTCCTGAGGACACGGCCTGAACAGAAGCATGACAGGCCCTGCCCAGCCCCTAAAGAGTGGACCGTTCCCTGTCACTGGCAGGACACTCGCTCTCCACTAAAATCGCCCAAGAAAGCCAGCTCCCTGGGCCGAGCTCCAGTGTCCAGACTAGAAAAATCGCGAGCATTTCCTGAGAGCCGCTAACCACGTCCTCACAGGTGGTGTTCCGTCCTTGTGGATGCAGTCATTGCCTGAGAAAATGCCATTCCCACCAAGAACACAGACAAGCCCTGCTGCTTCATCAGCCAGTGGTTTCTCTCAGACCCAAGGAGACAGTGCTCCAGAGCCAGTGCTCCAGAGCCCAGCTCCCTGGAACCTTTCAGGCAAAAAAGGACTCTATTCTCTAAATGCTGAGTCTTCAATTCATGCTTTGAAACACTGAAAAGCGAACACTGAAAACCAAGCAAAAGTGGGAAAACCGCAATGACTGTTGGAGACATTTGGCACCTCTCACCAAGAAATTAAAGATTGAGAAGAAAAAAATAGAGATGTTTAGGGCCTGAATAGCAAGTTTTAGAGCATGCTCTAAAAATATAGATAAAACTTTATACCAAATACACGCAAACAATGTTGAATGCCTGACTATTAGGCCAAAAGAAAAATCTCAAGAAACACTTAGAAGCAGAAATACACCTGGCCAGATTCAATGCAATAAAATTACAAGCCCACGGTAGCCACAAAAGGCTGATCACCTAGAAAATTATAAACATCCAAGTCACTGGGTTCTCGACATCCAGGCAAAGACAGCTGATCCACATGGGGAGAAGAGTGTTTACAGCAAACGGTGCTGGGACAACAGGACATCCACGTGCAAAATACTGAGCCTGAACCCACACCTCACATTAAACAAAATTAACTCAAGATGGATCACAGACCTTGTGTAAAACTTCTAGAAGCAAACATGGGGGAACACATTTGTGACTTTGGGTAAAGAAAGGATTTACTAGTTACAACACCAGAAACAAGAGCTATAAATAAAAACCCAATAACGTGGACTTCTAAAATATTAGCACTTTCGCTTTTTGAAATACAATGTTAAGAAAATAAACACCTATGATGCAACAGATTTTTCAGAAAATATTTACAAACCATAAATCTGATAAAGCACTTGAATCTAAAATATATGAAGAGCACTTCTGTCCTGAAGAAGAAGAAAGGGAACAGCCCAACTCCAAAGCAAGTAAAAGCTGTGAGCAGACACATAGACACATGGATGCCAATATTACTGGTCACGGGCATGCTAGCTTGTCACAGTAGCTGGAAAATGAGACACACAGCACTAACCTAACCCCACGTGCCAACAGGGCTGCTGCTGGGGCCGCGAGATGGCACAGCTACTTTTGAAAACCGTCTGGAAGCTTCTTATGAAATTAAACATCTCAGCATCTCACAGCAGCTGCTTACACAGGGGGACAAACGCACGCCCTGCAGAAACCTGCACCCACACTTTCACGGATGCTTTATTCACACCTGCCACGCGGCTAGCAGACTGGCACACCCCCAGAGCGCCCCTCAGCAGTCAGACGACAAACCATGGGTCCAAGAGACGACACGCGATGATGGAGCAGAGGGACGGCATGCCTTACCTCAGCCTCGGGGGGCAGCGCGCACTGCTGCACGACGTACTCGACCATGGCCTTGCCGCCAGGCTGCTCCAGGTAGCCGTGGTGGGCCATGGCGCTGACCACCTGCACCACTGCCCGCTTTACCTGCCCGGAGCAGGGGGCGCAGGAAGGGGCCTCAGAGGAGTGCTGGATGCAGCACGACGGCCCAGCAGGGGCGGGCATCTCACCTCCTCCCTGCCTGCACCCCCTGCCTTCCCCCAGCCCAGCACCCATGTCGGGGCACCCCCGTCTTAGTCACGCCTCTCCTCCCCAGACCCCAGGTCACACGTGTGTCCTGAGTGACCACAGGCCGGTGGGTCTGGAGGGACTGAGCCACGTGGCAGCCTGGGGGCCCCCAGGCTGGGTGCTTCTGGCCACCGACACTGCAGACAAGCGCTGGGCCCCTCTGAGGGTGGCACAGGGCACAAAGGCCCTGAAACAGATACAGCCTCGGTGATTTGGGCTCCAGTCCCCATGAACGGGGTGGAGGATGAGCACAAAGGCTAGGGAAGTCCCGGGAAGGGGACTCGCTGCCACTGAGCCGGAGCAGGGGGGGCCAGCCCCGCCCTCGGCTCTGGGGTCACCACCAAGCCGTGGATATCCTGCCGGAGTCCAGGCTCCTGTTCCCTGGGGCTTCCACTGCACCAAGTTGTCTAGCCCTGTGACTCAGGTAGGGCATCAGGCCACCTGAAGGGCTGGATGCCAAGATCTGCATGACGGAGGCCTGACAGAGACCCCCAACACAAGGCTGGGGCTTCCCTGGGCAGTCCTCCGTGCAAGCCAGCACAGCACTGCCTGCGGCTCCACAGGGCCAGGTTCTTCTAGAGAGCAATCAAGCCCCAAGGTGGTCTTGAGGACTACTTCCTAGCTTCACGCCTGGTTAATGTATCAGGAGGAAGTTGGGGGCCCAGACATGCAGCTCAACAGACACCCAGGCCTGCACGCACGCGCCGAGGCCTGGTGTGCTGAGGCGGCAGCTGCCTGTCAGTGGTGGCCGTGCTACCTGCCACTCACTGTGCAGGGCTGTGCTAAGCTGCCTGCTGACCCACCTTGTTGTTGGTGTCCAGAAGAGGGAGCTTCATGGAGGAGAGAATGAAGGGTTTCTTAACTGCCATCTGAGCAGCTGCAAGAAACCAACAGGGGGCTCAGTCTGCCTGCCAATGGGCAGAGGCCGGGCAGCCTTTCTGCCACAACGTGGGCCAAGCCTGTGCTGCGGGGCCCTGGCCTCAGTGCGGCCCTCTGCATGGGTGGGGAGAAGGCCACCTAAGCACAGGCCCACCCATCTCTCTCCGAGGGAAAAATGACTTTTTTCAGCAAATGACATTATTTTATCCAATTAAGAAGTGAGGATGTTGGAAGTTCAGGGCAGCAGAGCTGAGTCAGGGGTCCCAGGTTCAAGTGTGCGGTGAAGGCACCTCCAGGGTCATCAGAATCTTAGCACCACTCCCGGCTCCAACCTGAAGGCCTGACGTAGCCACGGCCACTGTTTAGCAACCAAGACACACACACACACACACACATTCAGGTGTGAAAACTATTCAGGCTTATTGCTGATTAAAACTGCTTTAAAGCAAGAAACATGAACTCTCCTATCCAGTTGTGAGGAAATCTTCAGACACATGGAAGCCAGGGACTTTCCACAGAACTGGCCTCCACTCCTCCCAAGGTCCACATCTAAGAGACAGCAGAGCAAGCTGTGCCCACGGCCAGGCCTCCACACTGAGGGGCCGCTGCCGTGGATGGCTGCAGGTGTGGGGGGGTCGGCAGGACTCAGCCACCAGCCCCCCACGCTGAGGCGCCACGGCCCACCGTCTACAGCCCCTGCCGAGGGCAAACATCAGTGACGGACAACCTGCTGGCAGGCACGCGAGCACCACTGCTGCAACTCTTCAAAAAGTAGGGAATTTTGCAAAATAGAAAGTTGGGGAAAGTATTTCAATAACTCAAAGCAAAATGCTCCTTTTCATCCCGAAGATGGACAAGGCGGGCCTATCCCATCTCCATCCCACAAGGCACTCACCCGCCGTGTTGATGACGTGCCTCAGGACCTGCAGGGTGCCCACACGGGTCCTCTCGTTGCTGGTGTCCAGCTTGGGCAGCAGGAAGGCCAGCAGGCGGTCCGGCGAGGAGCAGGCTGCGGGTAAGTGCTCATCAAGACCGTCTTGCTCCCTGCTGGCTTGCCTGCACCCCCCAGGCCCAGCGGGGAGGACAGACGTCAGGGCGGTGAGCCCCGGACGAGACCGAGGGCGCCGCCCGCGTACCCAGTACGGTGAAGCAACGCAGCACCTCCTTCCGGTTGCTCGTCACCAGCGGGCTGGACGACTCCACGGGCACGCAGATCTGTCCGGGACAGAAGACACAGTCAGCGGCTGCTGGGGCTGGAGAGGGATGTCTCAAGCTTCCAGGAAGCTGCAGGTCCTCGGGCATGCTCACCTGGGTGTAGGAACCCCTGCCTGTGCCCAGACATGCTCTCAGGCCCTGCAAGTGGGGTGGGGGAAGAACGCAGGACACACAGCTGGCCGTCCTCCTACACCCCACCCTACCCACAGGCAGCCAGGAGAACAAACTCCCCAGACACACTTCCTGATGAGAAAGGAGACAGCTCCCCACTTTCTCGGGTAGGACACGCAAGCACAAAAAACACTGGAGTCTGTCCATCCAAACCGAGCCAGAAAGGGAGCTGCCCTGGCAGGAGTATGGGCAGAGGCTGCAGGCGGCTGAGCCCCTGGATCCCACTGTACCTCTGTGGGCAACGCTCGGGCTGAGCTTTGGGTGGCACCCCTGTCCCCACTCAGCCCCCAAGGTCACAACAATGGACCTGCAGGGCCTCTGGGCAAAGGGCTCTGAGGGTACCCTTGGGAAAGCCCAGCCTCCCAACCAGGAGGGAGCCGCGGTGCAGCGACCACAGGCGCCACCCCAGCCTGGCCCTGCCAGTTCCCAGGGGACCGCAGCTGGTGGAGCAGGTGCGGGCAGGGCCACCAGGCTGGCTCCAGGTCCCTAGGGCCCTGCTGCCCGCTCCTGGGGTCACTCAGCGACCCACGGAGTGCCTCCACCAGGGCCGGGGGCCAGCGAGGGAGCAGCTTGGAAGCAGATGCTCTGGCCTGCCCCAGGGAACCTGTGGAAGATGCGTGAGGTGCTCAGAACTCCACAGTGACTGGAGCGCAAACTGCTGCTGAGGCCAGGCGCTAAGGTTTGCACTGATCAGTTAAAAGGTGATAGATCAGAGAGAGAACTAGTGACAAGGGCAGTCACCTGGAGAAAAGATAAAACTAGCTTTTCACTCTTCCTCTAAAATACACTCCAGATGATTAAACAGTATAGGGGAAATGAGAGAACCTAAAAACTCACTGAAGAATTGGAAAGCCTTTTCTAAGTACAGCAAAACCTGACTGTATAAAGAAAGATAAATGATGGCTTTAAAAAATTAAATAATATTCCATGGCAAAAAAAATCATAAACAGAGCCACAGATAACAACAAAGCAGAAACAAATATCTACATACATGACACAAGACTATAAATAACTGCTACAGACCAATATATTAAAAAAAAAACCCTAAAATCAACATAAAAACAAAAGACGTGAATGGAAAACACTAAGAAAAGGATATATCACACTTTTCTAGCTTCTCAGCTTTTCCACAAATATTCCCCTTTTAAACCCCAACCCCTCCCCACAGATTACACTGTTTTTAGTTTCAGGCCATCACTTTCTATTAAGTAAATAATACTCTATCTCTCATTTTTTGGTCACTCTTTCCCCAAGTTGAGATCTTAGGCATTCTTCGCTAGGTTAATTCCAAGCTACTTTACAATTAAGTTTCTGTTGCTATTGTAAACACCTTTTTTTATTTTTGGTACTTTCTAGCTGGTCACCACTGATGGGGGAAAATACTCTTGATTTTTACAGGTCGGTCTTGTAACTGGCAGCCTTGCTGAACAGAGTTCTATGACTTCGAAATAGATTCAGTTCTTGTATGAATGAACTTCTAGATGAGTGCATCAACCATCCAGAACAAATATCTGCTAGGAGCAGACACGGCGGGGGCCAGAACAAGGCAACCCTGCCCTCAGGCCTCTGCCGCCTCGCTGCGCATGGGGAGCAGTGGCCTGACAGGACGCAGGGTGGGCAGGTGGCCAGGCGAAGGCAAACCACAGGTCTGTTCTAGATCCTTCCCTTCTGCTTCTCTCCTCACAGGATTCACCCCAAGTCCTGCTGACAAGTGAGTGGGGCTCCGTCCTGCTCTGGATGGTTAAGTGAAGGTGGTCGCTCCTTTCCATTGTGATGCAAGCTGTATCCATCACATGTATGATGCAGGCTGATGGATCAGGTATTTAAAATTTACCAAGAGAAGCTCCTTTCCCATCCTGGTTGCTAAGAGTTTCAATGACAAGTAGGTGCTGAACTTCCTCAAAAGCTTTTACTGCATCGCTGAGATCAGAGAGAACCTTCCCACAGCCCCTCCCACTGGGCCCCGTGTGTGGCAAGTACAGGGTGGGCAGCCAACTCTCCTCCACACAGACCCTCATGCCAGCTCTCCCGTGGGCGCCCAGACTTTTCTGTGTGGTCCTGACTTGGAGTCAAGACCAGTCCCACAGAACCTGTCAGGCAGCTCCAGATCCTATTCTCATTTCCAAGCCCACCTGTGTGAGGTGGAAATGAGCTATCCTTCAAAAGTCTAGAAGAGGCAATCTGAACACCACTGGGTCCCGGGTTTGTTTTCAGAAAGGAAGGGCCTGGAATGCAGTCTCCTTTTCTTTACTAGTTTAGTCAAATTTTCTATTTCTCTTCTACCAATTGTGACATTTTTAAGATTTTTCTAGGCATCTATCCACTTCATAGTTTTTCAGGCTCATTACAGCCGAGGAGCCCTGAGGCCCTTGCTCCAGCAGAGCCTTCGGGCCCTCCCGTTGCCGGCCTCAGCTGTCGAGGCAGCTCCTTTGCTCCGCCTGAGCCCTGACCCTTGGGGACCTGCAGACAGCGCAGATGCTCCCCCTGCCTGCTGGCCGCCCCCTCCCCTCCTGCCCCCGTGCGTGGGGCTGTCCTGTGCCCCACTGCCCAAGTCAGTCTACCCCCAAGGGCTGCACCCAGACGACTTGGGAAGCCTGCAGAAGTCCACCTGGCTGGACCCCCGCCCTGAGTCTTGCTCCCTGGGCCCTTCAACAGGCACCCCCATAGCAGGACAACAGCGCCCGGCCCCAGCCTGCTCACAAACCCCTCCAGTGGTCCACCTGAGCATGCAGAGCGGCCAGGAGAGAGTCGAGCTGGATGTCCAGTGTGCGGCTGCCCACGCTCACGGCTGCCTCCAGGATCTGGCCGAGGCTCTGCAGGGAGCAGACTGTCAGGACCTCCTCGCCTTCAGCCCCATCCCACCTGGCTGGGGGCGCTTCCCAGCAAGACACCACCCTGGGGCTGGAGTGAGGAGGCAGTGGTGCCAGGAAGGGGGCCTGGCTCTCCAGCTCTACACACAGCCCTCACTGAGGCCGACAGCCCACCAGGGCCTCACCCACTGAGGCCCACAGCCACACTGTGCGCACCTTGGACACGTGGACAGTCTCGGCGTGCTTCTTGTAGAGGGTGAGCACCCCAGGCAGCAGCTTGGGGAGCTGCTCCTCCAGCTTCTCACTGGGGAGCAGGTGGCTCATGGGCCCCAGGGCCTCCACCACTGCGAGCCGCAGCTGGAGGAGGCAGGGACACTGGTCAGTGGTGGGGGGACAAGGGCAGGAAGTCCTCCACCACGGACCTAGAGCACAGGCTCTGACAAGGTGAAGGGAATGGGCCGGGGGAGAAGTCAGAGCAGCCAGGCCCCTCCCTAAAGTGTGGAGGCCCCAAGGTAGGGGTGGGGCCTCAGCAAAGCAGCCCAACGCTGCGAGGACCTGCAGGGGAGACCCCACAACACAAGGCTTGGCATGGGCAGGTGGACACAAATCTCTACCGAGGTCCTGAGGGATGGCAGAAGGGCCCAGGGGTCTGCGGCAGGACCTCCAGGTTGGGAAGGGAGAGGGCAGTCAGCAGGTGCAGTCACCAGTCCCCACCCACAGAGCGTACCTTCGCTTCCCGGCTCTGTAGCCACTGGTGGAAAAGGATGTCATAAGCACCAAAGATGTCTGAGGCGAAGGCGTCCTTTCTGACTGTGGGGTCTGGGGCCTGGTCCAGGTTGGCCAGGTACTCCAGGGTGCTCTCACTGAAGCGCTGCAGAGCTGTGGTGACCCCAGCGGTGAGAAGGCAGGCATGGTCACGCTGGCTCTCAGGCAACCCCTCTAACATCTCATGCCCGCCTAGGAGATACCCTCCTGAGCAGCCCGGCGAGGCTCAGGACTACAGGGTGGGGCGGGGGTGAAGGGTCCCCTGACTCTCGTCCTTCCCAGAACCCAGAACACGACTTTTCTAGAAATTCAGTCTCTGCAGATACACAAAGTTAAGACGAGGTCATGGTGGGGTGGGGTGGGGTAGGCCCTAACCAGGACCCTGTCCTCGTAAGAAGAGAGACAGACATAGTGATGACAGAGGCAGACGCTGCAGTGAAACAACCTCAAGCCCAGATGCCCAGATCGATGGGCACCTCCAGACACCACGGGAGCCTGGAAGGACTCTGTCCAGAGTCACAGAAGGTGCGTGGCCCTGACAACAGCCTGCCCTCAGACACTGGCCTTCTAAGCTGTAGAAGACAGCCCCGTTGTCTTAAGCCCCTGATTTGTGGTCCTGTGTCACAGTGGACACCAGTACATGACCAACCTCCCCCAAATGCCCCCAGGCCACCACGCCCACCTGCTCTGGTCTGTGGTGCCCACCTCTCCCCTCACAGACACACATACCAAATGCTTTCAAGGATTGCTGTCCAAGATGGTGTGGGACCCCCAGGACACATGCAGGAAGACCTGGGTGTGTGAGGCTGAGTGGGGGAGCGGTGCTGAAGGTGGGGAGCACCAGCCTGGGGGGGGCTGTGTCCATGCAAGGGATGGTGCTGTGGATGCTCAGGCAGGGAAGCCAGGGGACCCACTTAGGTGTAGAACTGTGAGTGGTCAGCAGGGCCTGGACTGTGGGTCATGGGAGACGATGGGACCACAAATAGTCCGAGGCCAGAACCTGGCCACGCAGCCACACTGAGGCAGGGCAGGAGAGGAGACCCAGACGGCTGGCAGGGGTGTTGGCTCACAGCTGGCCCCGAGGCAAGAGCCCACCCCAGGATCTTGACTGACAGGATCACGTGCTCCAGCTCATGACCTCTGACCTGGACCACTTGCAAGGCTAACTTCTCAGCTTGGGTTTTGCAACCCAACCCTCCATTTACAGGAAGGCAGTTTATGGTCACAAGCACTAGAGAGAGAACATGCACGGCCTCCCGGAGCCCACGGCAGGAGGTCTGTATCTGGCTGTCCTCCCACTGAGGATGCCTTCAGTGGGGAGGGGGTCTGCTTAGCTGGGCCCTGGTCCCTGCCTGCCACCCCAACCCCTGCGTCCACCTATTCTTGCTCCTTGAGTTGCTCAATCAGGCTGCTGGTCAAGCTGACCAGGACTTCGAGGTACCCTGTGTGGGAAGGGCTTTCAGGATAACAGGATATTACGTGGCTTGAAGTGGAACCCCCCTCGCCCCCGGCCCTGAGTTTCTTACCAGGTTTGTGCTTTTAATCAAGGACACATGTGCCTCATGTGAATGAGTCACTCAGGCCCCTCCCCCAGCCTGATTTTCCTTATTCCAGAAGCAAACACGGGGTTTGGGCCTCTTTCTCCACACACGTGTGTGCAGTGTTCCCCACGTACCCCAGGCCGGGACCAGCCCGATCCATCCACCCCTCCAAACCCACGTGGCTCTGAGCCCACCACTCCCTCCATGAGCAGCTGTGTCCTGAGTTAAGGACCGTCTGGTGTTTGAGTCCCCTTGTTCTCAGGCCAAAGTCACTGCGGCAACCTCCACACCTCTTGACACACATCCTGAGGCTCCCCCAGCCTCACCACATGGGCCACACCCTTCCGGATCCTGGCTTCTCAAGGGACATCTCTACATCTTCCTGCTCAGCAAGCCTCGGGGAGGGGTGCTGATTCTCAGGGGTGCCTTCCGCTGGAGCTTTCTAGCACTCTCCCTCAAGCAGAAGGCAAGCCCTCGGCCTTCTCCTGGACCACCTGCCCCGCAGAAGCTTCCTGACGCAGGAGTGGGGAGGGCCTCTCCACCTGGGACAGCTCCCACAACGACCCTCCCCCGCCCCGCCCCCTCCACTTTCTCCGTTCCTTCTCCGTTCCTTGGAAGGTGATTATCGAAGACTGGTTTCATGGCTTCCCTTGCTAAATCTTTTCTTTCTCTTCTATTTTTCACATACTTGCATCTTGGCTCCATTTTCTAGAGGATTTCCTCAACACTTCCATTTCTACCTTCCATTTTCATCACGTCGCTAATTCCCAACAGCTTTATTGCATTGTCTAAACGTAGCTTCTTCATAGCAACGTGCTTCTGTTTCATGAATGCATCTTTTCTCATCTCAACGAAATACCAACCAGATTTCCTTTCCTGTCTGTTTTCCCCTCCCTCAACTGTCTGCTTCCCCTAGTCTCCCTTTCTGTTTACTTTGCTGCTGCCTCTCTCATCAGACTTTCCCAGTGGGTGGTGAGCTGTGGTTTCCTGCCAGTGCTGGCAGTGTGTCCAGGCCAGCTGAGCACCTGTTGTCTGGGCCCTGTCCACCCACCTCTGGGGTCCTCCTTCCCGCCTTCCCCCTGCCAGGCCGCAGCGTCCTGCAAGCTGGACAAGAACCTCTGAGTGCACACACACTCCTGTTCTGGGCCCCATGGCCCACTTGGGCCACCTTCCTGTACAGTGAACACAATCTGACTAGAATCGGAGACTGCCTGGAAGGACGAGGTCCCAGTCCTCTTGTGGCCCACTCAGGCTGCGATGGGCTGACAAGGACGCTCCTGGCCTGACTGAGGCTGCTCCAGTGGGCAGGACCATGCTTCCCTCAACTTCAGACCTGGAGCACTGTCTGTGGCAAGGCGCACACACTTCAGTCAGAGGGCGGCTACAGGCAGTGTCTGCTGGCCCAGCTGGCCCTTCACATGGAATGGCAGCCAGGTGAACACTGTAGGCCTGCAGCCTGTGAGGGGCAGGGCCTCCTGCACAGGGCTCTGCAAGTCCTGGTGCGATGCCAGCACTTCCCAAGGCAGCTGCCGGGCCAGGGACCAGCCCTCAGCTCCAACACAGGCTCTCCTTCTCCCTCCCGGCCGGGATGAGTGCTGTCCTTGGAGCTCTTTTCCCCCAGCCCCCACAGCTCTCCCCAGTCCCTTCTGTGTCCCCCAGCTGGGATGTGTACTGTCCTTGGCGCTCTTTGCCCCCCCGCAGCCCCAAGCTCTGCCTCAGTCCTCTCTGCGTCCTGCCCCTGCACTCTGAGCTCAGCAACGATTCCCACCCAGCTGCTCAGGGATCCTGTCACAAGTTCCCTTTTCAGCAGAAACCAGGTCAAAGAGGGTTTCAGCCCATGTGAAAGGGGCCCTCAAGAGGAAGGCGTGGAACAGAGAGAACAGGAATGTAGGGGCTCTGAGGGACTAGAGCTCTTCCTAGAGTCCCTGAGAGCTGGGGAACATGAACCCAAAACCACCATGAACAGGTGGGCTGCAGCCCAAAGCTCTAGGCCCCAGATAGGAAAGTCCCCTGGTATGCACAGAACAGGCAGCTTCACTGGGACCCTTCTGCAGACACCAACTCTGCTTGGCTACCAGCCTCCCAACCCCTGCCTCGGTGTGGCCATAGCCTAACCACGTCCCTCTAGCCTGGCCATGGAGGTGGAAGCCCAGGACCTCTAACAGCCTGACGATTAAAAAGGGTCCTTAGGGCTTCCCTGGTGCTCCAGTGGTTAAGAATCCATGTTCCAATGCAGGGGACTTGGGTTTGATCCCTGGTAGAGGAAGACCCTACATGCCTTGGGGGAACTAAGCCTGTGTGCCACAACTACTGCAGCTGGGGTGCGTAGAGCCCATGTTCGACAAGAGAAGCCGCCATAATAAAGAGTAGCCCCTACTCTGCACAACTAGAGAAAGCCCTCGCCAGCAACAAAGACCCAGCAAAAGCAAAAATGCGTGCATGCATGCTAAGTTGCTCAGTCATGTCTGACTTTTTGTGACCCGATGGACTGTAGCCCACCAGGCTCCTCTGGCCACGGGATTCTCCAGGCAAGAGTGCTGGAGTAGGTTGCCGTACCCTCCTCCAGGGGATTTTCTCAACCCAGAGATCAAGCCCACAGTGACAGGTGGGTTCTTTACCACTAGTGCCACCTGGGAAGCCCACAACCAAAAATAAACTATTTTAAAAAGGGGATCCTGTCTTCATGGGGCCTCATGGGCCTAGGTGTTCCCACTCCCTCCCCTCGGTAGCAGCTGTCTTCCTGAGACTGGAGGGGACGCTAGGGACACCAGGAAGCCGAGGGACAAGAGCTGTGTGCAGGCCACTAGAAGAGGCCAGGCTTCCTCAGGCCCCATGTTTCAAGACCATCTGCTCCCTATAGGAGTGCCCTCCTGCCCATCAGGAGTCACGCCATGAGGCACTGCCCATGGCACACAGAGGGTGGGAGAGTGAACACTCCCAGGATACCCAGGGAAATATCACTCTGCCAGAACGAGCAGGGAGAGAAGTGGGAAGAAGCTGTAGCTCTGGTGAGTCTCCTCCTGCCCCCCATTAAGTGTCCAGGGCTCAGGGGAGTACAGTGTAAGGTCCTGGTTGGGGGGGGGGGCGCCCAACAACAAAGACAAGCTGCCAGACAGCAGAGGTCAGGTCTCTACCTGCATCAGTGCCCACTCAGCCCCCATCTGCATCACCCTTCCTCTAATTGTCCCACCCTCCTCCTGCAGCCCGAAGGCTCCCCGGCCCCCCACAAAGGAGCACTGGAAACAAAGATCCCCCCCAACAGTGGGCAGACCACACCCACCCACCACCCCACAGAGGCCCTGTCTTACCACAGCAGAACACCACTTTCATTGAGTCATGTTTGGCTGCACCCAGCATGGGCAGCATGGTGCTGAGGACGGACGTCAGGAAGGGCACCATGCCAAACACTGCAAGAAGGGGCGCGTCACAGAGGCCCACGGCCACACCGACCCCGCCACACAACTTGAGCTCTCTCTGCACAGCCTGAGGCGCGTGGTGGAGCAACTGGGACCCAAGGAACCGAGATGCCAACCTCAGAACCTCTGAGTGTGCAAGCAGAGGGGTGGGGCTGCCACCTACCATTGGAGATGGAGAGGCTGGCGAGTGTGTGCACGGTGCAGGGATGCGGCAGGAGCCCAGGCTGGAACTTGCTCAGCAGCTCCTCCATCACGCTGCTGATGAACCGCCTCCCCACCGCCACCAGGACGCTGCTGGCGGCCTGCTGCCAATCAGAGACCAGCTCCTGTCCCCAAAGACCTCAACTGACACCCTGACCAAAGGAGGCAGACCTCACCCACCCTGAAGGTGCCCAGGAGGAAAACTGGACACTCTGCCTTCAGCGTGTCAGGCCGCCAGTGTTCAGCACGCTCTGCGGCTGCTGTGAGCAGGGCCCCAGGCTGAGCCTCGAGCCCATGCACACTCAAGTCAGGCCCTGGTGCTCCTCCATTCACCCTGAGAGCTTGGGAGCACTGCTTTCCACTTAGGTTTCCATCTGAGATGGCGGGGTGACCCACCCCACCCCACAAGGGCAGTCAATACACAGGACCAACAGGCCAAACGCAAGGCAGCCAGACACAAACCCATGTTCTCAATGCACTCAGGAAGAAAACAGCTCCCTGCCCCAGCCAGGGGCGGGTCAGCCAGGTCAGGGCAGGTATCCCCCACACCTTCACTTTGGTCATCTCACTGGAGGCCAGGAGGATGATGGCCCTGGCCATGTCCTTGTCCAACTCGCCGATGTGATTGCTCACGACTGTCTCCATTGCCCGTAGGACCATCGTCCGGTATGGATGTGCTAGCTGTAGAGAGGGATGGTGGAGGAAGGACCAGGACTCCCTTGTCATGGCTCCTCCCTGAGCTCAGGAATGAGCTCCCTACACTGGGACAGTGGTGGGGGTGGGGGCAGGGGCGGGATGGGGCCCTGCGGAGAGGAAGGGTCATCAAACTGGCTCAGGAGCCCAGGGGCCCTGTCAGGACTCAACTGTCCAACCCTGAAATGGCAGCTGACAGATGAGAGCCCAAAACTCAAACAAAAAGAAAGACGGTCTTTTGAGACTGCAAGTCTAACTCCTAGGAATGAGTCTAAACCATGCACTGTGGAAACTGAAATTCTGTCCCACTACAGGGAGACAGGAGTGTCACAGAACCCTGCAGTCGGGCCAGGAGAGGCAGAGCTGGCACAGCTCTTGGTGCAGTCTCAGCAGGGCCCGACCAGTGGCGTCTACGGTTGGGCAGGGAGCAGAGGCCCAGGCCCGCTGGGCGAGGCCCTGTCCCAGGTGCGACGCAGCGGCCCCTTTTTCACTACCTGGGTAGGTGAGAGGAACAGTGGACTGGGCCTGTGCAAGGGCAACCAGACACTACAATGCCGACCACCTGGTCCCCCACAACAGGACCGACCCACAGGACAGAGTGGGTCACCTATGCTGGATTTGCTGCCTCAAGGGGGCCTGGACTTGCCGGTGCGACTTTCCACCCACAGCAACCTGGCTGCATACTTCAGACCCACTGGGGCCACTGCCCTGCAGGCCCCACCCCTCACCGAAGGCCCCATTCCCATTCCCACCACAGGCCCCGCCCCTCACCATGAACCCCGCCCTGCAGGCCCCTCCCCACAGGCCTCACCCCATCCTGGAGGAGCAATAAATACCTTTTCGTGCAGCCGCAGGTGCTCCTCACAGGCGCTGAGCACCTCCGCTGGCTGTGACCCTCCGAGGGTGCACAGGGCGCCACATACCTGCTCCTGCACCCGAGGGTCCTTGTCAGTGATGGCGTCCAGCAGGATGGTGGACAGCCCTACAGTGACAAAGTCCAACGGCAGGGTCAGGCCTGGCCCCGGCCCACCGCCTGGCTCAGCCTCTGAGGACTCAGCCTCACTGGCCCGGCCTCTGCAGCCTCAGGCACACACACCACCCCTTCTGTCCACCGTGCCGGCCGGGGTCTCTGGGACCCACTGGCCACCTGCTCTGAGGTCGCTCTGGCCACCTCTACCCCGGCCTTCCAACCCAGGCCGTGTTTTCTCCGCATCTCCAGCCTGGCTGGATCCGAGCTCCTATAAAAAGCAGGCAGTGTGGGCTCAGCCCCACGAAGCGGCTCCAGGAGGACCTCTGGCCCACACTCTGCCCTGGACCATGCTCTGGCAAAGAGCTGGCCCTGGCTGCAGGTACAGTGGCCAGTCAGAGTGAACGCTGGCCCTGGGGCTTTTGTAGGCAAGGAGGAAGGCACAGGGATTCTCCCCCACAGAGCACAAAGCCACTGTGCCAGGCAAACGCTGTCCCCACACCAGACTGAGCCAGCGTCGGCAGAGACGAGAGCTTCCTTTTCTTTTCTGATGAAGCCTTAAAGAAAGTGTGTTCAAGCAGCGGTCACTCCTCCCAAGCGCATTTACTCAGAAATTCGCAGCATGCCGTGGAGGCCAGCCAAGGGGCCCACACTCACTCTTCACGTAGGTCTCACTCATCACTGTGGCTCCGGCTTCTTCTCGCCTCCTGGTGTGAACATGGACGCCTCTCTTCAGACCTGGAGTCACCAGACGTGCAACATTTAAGTCACTGGCCTCCTCAGTTTACGAGCAGTTAGTGGGTTTGTGTAAAACACAAGGTCAGAAAGGGTTCGTCGGGGAGACAGTCTCTGCCACACTCTGGCTGAGTGGTGCGCAGAGGACAGGTGGTACCCACTCCACCCAGCAGCCGGCAGCCCCGCCGCCAAGTGCTCGGCTCACAGGGGCTTGTCCTGGCTTGGCCAGGCCAAGCGTGACCACCACCTCCACTGACAGCATCTTCCTTCACTCTGTGCACATAAGGCCTCGTGCCACTGACAGACTGTGAAGAAAGGGACACCCCTCCCTGAGGGCCAAGAACAACAGCCTTCGTCACTGTGTGGCCAGGACCCCCCCACTTTCTGTTGGCTGAACAAGACTGGACAGGCAGCTCAGGGATCTGGTGGGCTCTCTGGCGTCTGAAACCAACCATCCAGACAGCTCACTGGATTTGAGAGTTGCAGCTTTCAAACATCATGTGCCTCAAAGCACCACTTGCAACAGACAGAACCAAAGAATAAAGCCCATGGAATACGCAAGTGCCTCTGCACTTCCCCACGCGGTCACAGGCTCCAACAACTGATACGGGACTGCTTTCTCACACTGGGGTCCTCTATTTTCTGGGCACCACCTTCATTCCTGGGCACCGCCCATCCAGAAAAGGGTGCAGGCAGAGGAAGCAAAGGGGACAGGCCACCTCCTGCTCCTGAGATCATTGGCTGTGGCCACTGGGAAGGGGCAGTGAGAGGTGTCTGACGAGTGGGGGGACTACAGCAGGTGAGAACTCTAGATCGAGAAGGCACCCTGGTCCTAGACATTCACCCATCCCGCCAAAACCTCAGTGCAATGAAAGAAAAGATGCATGTTTTAAAAGAACAAGCCCACAAGGGCGCTAGAACACAAGAACAGATAAAATTAGCAGACCAGACACTTCCAGGAATCTCAGGCAGACAGAAGGCAGATGGAGAAGACTGGTTTGAGGCTGGTGGCATCAGCAAGGTGTTTCCCCTCTTTTCCTGGAAAGCATCTAAAAATAACAAGGAAAACAAGAAATAAAAACACGTATTCCATTAACAGTAGAGCAAGGAGGTGGCAAAACCCCCCATCCTGCAAAGGTGATGGGCTGAAAATGCCGCAGCTGTCAGGCAGGTATGAAGGTGCTGGCCGCAGGCTCCACAAAGAGCCATAAGGATTCTTCTCAGAGGCAGGCACCCCTGCACATGGAACCCACTTCCTGAGGTCCCTGGGCCAGTCTGGGTAATGAGCACGCAGCCCGCTCCTGGCGCAGGGGCTTCGCCTGTGAAAAGCTACAGCTGCCCATCTCCATGACCTCAGAGAAGATGGGTTGAACAGCTCCAGCTCCACAGTTTGGAGCATCTTTCATACAAATGCAGACAACTCGAACAGAAGCACACACATACATAAGGGACATCAGCTCCCAGCCTGCCTGGGAGGAATGGACCTATTTGCCACCTCAACCCAAACAACTAAAAAGATGAATGAAACACATGGAACCAGAGTTCTCAGGCTGATGGGCATCAGGAATAAAGGGTGGGAAAGCCTGTGATCATGTCAGCTCATCACCTGAAGGGCACGTCCAGCTGAGGACATGCAGAGCGGGCCTGGGAACAACTTGGGATGCCTGGGTCTTGCTGGAGTCCACAGGGTCCAGTACCAGGTAGAACCTCAGAGGCCTGCAGAGGGTCCCCAGTCACTCAGCTGATTTACTGGCCAGCACATGGGCAGAAAAATAATGTCCCCAAGGATGCCCATGTCCCCATGCTTAGCATAGGAGTATGTTACTTAGCTGGCAAAAGGGACTTAGCAGATGGGGTCAAGGGCACAGACCTTGAGGTGAGGAACTACCCTGGATTATGTCAGCGAGACCTGCCTTAGTTCTTAAGAGCGAAGAACTTTTCTCAACTGCATCAGAGACAGGAGGAGAAGAAGGGAGGAAACAAACAAAGCACGGGAACAACCCACCTGACCTGCTGCACAGACGGGGCGGGAGGCCAGAGTCGACCCAAGGCGCGGGAGGAGCCACCCAAAATGACTCGCAGAAACAATCCCTGCGGCTTGCAGTGAGCCAGGCGAGGGCCTCTCCTGGGAGCAGGGGAATATCACAACTCTCAGAGCACTGGGAAGGGCACTCAGGAGAGTTCCAACTCAGTAAAGAAGTAAAACGAGGGCGTTCCCTAGGGGCCCAGTGGTGAGGATCCCAGGTTCTCACTGCCATGGCCCAGGTTCAATATCTAGTTGGGGAACTGAGATCCTGCAAGCCAAGCCGTGCAGCCAAAAAAGGAAAAAGAAGAAAAAGGTAAAATGCCATTCTGGTTTCACCTACTAAAGCTAAAAGCAAGACCTGAAAGGATCAGGCCGTTCCCAAGTAACTTAGACCAGCCCAGCACAAAGCTTGAGAATAACAAGAGGAACACAAAACACCACACACCAACAAACAAATAAAAGAAAGAAAAATAACAGTGTCTGGCATCCAATCAAAAATGACCAGGCACGAAAAGAGGCAAGAAAAGTGAAAGTGAAAGTGAAGTCGCTCAGTCGTCTCTGACTCTTTTCTGGCCAGTGGACTGTAGCCTACCAGGCTCCTGCTTCCATGGGATTCTCCAGGCAAGAATACTGGAGTGGGTTGCCATTTCCTTCTCCAGGGGATCTTCCCGACTCAGGGATCGAACCCGGGTCTCCCGCAGGCAGACGCTTTAACCTCTGAGCCACCAGGGAAGCCCTACACAACCCAAATTTGGTGTATGGCTAAGAAACTCAAACAGGGGCTCTGTAGCCCCTAGAGGGGTGCGATGGGGACGGAGATGGGAGGGAGGTTCAAAAGGGAGGGGATATATGTATACCTATGGCTCATTTAGGTTGAGGTTTGACAGAAAACAACAAAATTCTGTAAAGCAATTATCCTTCAATAAAAAAATAAAAGAAACAACACACAACCCATAATGAGGGTGAGTCAGTCAATAGACACTGACCTGGAAATGGTGCAGAGGAAAGAATTACTAGATAAGACATTTAGATTACAACTGTATTTTATATATTCTAGAAACCACAGGAAACACTAAGTATGTCAACATAAAGAAGCTAAAGTAAAAGAATGGGAGAAGAAAAATGAGGCTGACAAAAATCACAAAAAAGCTGGAGTAGTCCCTGGTAGTCCACTGGTTAAGAATCCACCTGCCAATGCAGGGAACACAGGATCGGTCCCTGGTCTGGGAAGACCCCACATGCCTCAGGGCAGTTAAGCCTGTGCAACACAACTCCTGAACCTGTGTGCTGCAGCTACTGAAGCCCACATATCCTAGAGTCCGAGCTCTGCAAAAAGAGAAGCCACTGCAATGAGAAGCCTGCACACCACAGCTAGAGAGTAGCCCCTGCTCGCAGCAACTCGAGAAAGCTCATGCACAACAGTGAAGACCCAGTGCAGCCAAAAATATATAAATAAATAATTTTTTTAAAGCTGGAGTTGACTATATTAATATTAGATAAAGTAGACTTCAGAGACATAACAATTTTTTTTAAATTAAATCGCTTTTTATTTGGAAAAGTGTATGTTTAATAACTGACTTCCTACTGGTTCAATCAACATTTTGCAAGCACTTGTACACATCCAATAAAATATTTCTGAAGCTTGTGCTTGGTAATCAATCTGCTTTTCTCATTCTCCAGAATGATTTAAAATCTTAACTCATTTTAAGAGTTTTAAATGGCTCCTGCCAGGGTCCAGCCTCGGCATGATCCAGGGGGTACCCTCAGGATGAACGGCGTCGGCGAGTGAGAGAAGACACGTGAGACCAGCCTTGATAGGGCCAAGTCTGCGAGGGAGAGAGAGAGAGAGAGAGTGACCAGACGGGGGGTGCAGCAGAGTCTGGCAGAGTCTGGCCATGCTTTATTTTTTACCGTAGCTTTTATACCCTAAGTTAGTACATTTCTAAGGGGAAGATAGTTTAACAATATATCAGCTTGTTCTTCACGAAACCAGGGTGTTTTCTGCATACTTCTTTGTTTATGAGGGTCTTATACATTATCTTCTGGCCTTGGGGCCTATTAACATTTTATGCAAGTCAGGTGAATGTAAACCTATTTTCTGTTTCTATGGTGACCTTAACTGAAAGGTAGCAATCTCATAGGCCAACAGTACAAGTAGAAGTATAACCTTGTTAACACAAAAATTAATCCTTCTGCAGGAGTTGTCAGTTGCGTTTATCTAAGAAGTTTATCCCACACTGACTCTGCGACTTTGGTGAGGCAGCTTCTGCCTAGCACTCCTGGCTGACAATTAACAACCATTTCATTGTTACCACACTAGGGCTAAGCTCTTATTTCTCTAGATCTTTAACTATATTAACAATGGTTTCTATAACACAGCCTTAGCACATTAAAAGCAAAAACACAGCAAGCAAACGTCAACTCAATAACCACCTATAGAATAATTTTTCTTATGTTTTCTAATAGGACTCCTTTACCCCTCAAAAAGGCTCTATGTCTATTAGGGCTTTTATATAATCATGTTCTTTAAGCTATTTTATGATTAGGATATTATAAGCAATCATGCATATTAGTACCAAGGGCATAAATGCATTTGGCTAACAAACTACCAGCAAAGGAGTTTAAATTAAAACACTCCTTTCACCCTGGATAATCTCATAAAATACCACCACCTGGGAAACTTGTTGATTAAAGTTCTAAATTGATTCTTATTTGGGAAGAGATCGGGGAAGGCCTTCTGCCTGTGTCACAGAAATTAGGGAGTAGTCCATTGAGGCAGGCGTCAGAAAGACAGAGATCATCTTTAAGGTGAGCGCCGGGGGCAGCTTTTCGGAGTCCCTGAAAACTTGATGTGCCTTGCCTGTCAGGCTTTCTCCTCATGACCTTGTCATGGTTGGGATCTCGTGTGCCGGCTTCCG